AGAGCGAAAGGCTTTTTCGCATTCAAGGTCTCCTTTCCCGTCACTTTCGTCCCTCAAATCAAAAATATTAGATCTTCGAAACATCTATGCCGACCAAGCTTTTCCTGGGCGTTTCTCTTTTACTTGCCGTTCTGGGAGTTTTTCCAGGCATATTTGGGCAGGATGTAAGGGAAAAAACCTCTCTTGACAAGGATGACAATAGTACCAGAATCGCTCGTGAGTTCACGAACGGTTACAAGAAAGAGCGCAAAGTATGCGAGGGTAGCAACGGATGTCTGACATTTTTTGTTTTACTGTATATAAATCAAAACATAACATTCAGATACAAAAATAAATTACATGTTCACCGTTAGGTAGCCAGTCTGTAAAGCTAAGTAATGGCACCAAACATAAGCTAAAAGAGGGTGGCAAATATACATGTACATTACAATACATGTATGCTTAAATTTTCAATCGCTGGGATCGATTTCACACAAGACTGAGTTGAAACAGTCTCAGAGAGACATATATTAACGTTGGTCTGCATTCGAAAGGTTCGAACTGATCGAACCAAGGTCAAGGTCGCAGCTAATTCACGAGTCATGTGTCCTACCACGTGACATAATGATTCCAAGGTACCTGTAATGGTATTGGCAAGTCAAAACAAAGGCTTCTCAAATTACTTGGAAGTATGAAGACATCTATCAACACATTGCCAGTTTAGAATGACACAGCAGCGTGTGTACCTCAGGGCAATTCATCAACGCTATTACAGGACCAGGAACTAACGATTACAAGAGGGTTTGGGGACTGAAAAATTCTCCCCTCGACTTGCCCTGCCGATATCTCCCTGCTTTTTAAGCTTGTTAGTGGCAATCTCCCTAGACAGACCTAGCCACCGGAGGGCGCGGTGTTGGCTGCTCACCTCAGGGCTTGCAGCGGCAGTTGGAGCGAATTTCCCGTCGTGGTCGAGTTGTTTCATACTAAGGTCTCCACGTGGTGCGTCACGGGTGGACAAACATATGGCAGAAACTATAGAAACGTCAATCAGATAACTTCCAGTCAGCAGTTGAAGCTGTCTTGGTCAAACTCGAAGCCTGAAGGGTCGGAACTAGCCAGTTATGAAAAAGGATTTCACTTTTCAGTTAGCCAAGTTACACTTTTGTATAACCAGATTCAAAAACTTTAACTCTATTTAAAGTTGGTCTGTATTATGTTCTCAGAGTGTGATCTTGTATCATCTTATTGTCTTGAGATGATACACTATACTGCCAGAAATTTTCCATTCAGTACACAGTTTTATCAAAATCCAGTGTACATAATCAATAAACCTTGTTTTCAATTCCTTCTTCTAATGCAGGGACCGACATGTAACAAGCCATGTCCGGTTTTATTCGAAGGTGGCCAATGTGTTTACGAGTGTGACTGTCCGTCGAGGAGATGTCATTATCCCGAAGGATCTTGTGCCTGCCCGCTCGGCTTCTCGGGATTCAAGTAAAATATTAGCAGAGAACTATAATTCTATCCAAATCCATAAATACATGCACACATAACCCAAGATCTGACGTTTACACAGATCTGTGCTATACATTTTACAGACGCAGTTATGACATCAATGCATTTATCATTTGCAAGTATCTATCAACGAGGTATCAAAATTGTATGTATACTGATCGACATTGTCAGCAGGTTGCTATTTTCAAATGACATACTGTCTCCACAGTTGCAGTGTGCCATGCCCATCTGGGTATTATGGACCTAACTGTCGCCTACAATGCCAGTGTGAAGTGAACGTCACGTGCTCACCAGAAACAGGATCTTGTATGAGACCACGTAGGTCCTACTGTCCAAATTATTTTCAGAATAATATAAAAATATTAAATAGCAGATAAAGTTTTTGATTGTAATCATGTTAACTTAATAACCACGGGAAAATCTTACAGGAAAATGTAAAAGGGTGGTTTTAGTCCAACTTAACTTAATGGGGTGCAGTGAAGCAAGCATGATTCATACTGTGAGTGTCATACTGGACGGTATGACCTCAACTCATAAACACAGGGTCGTCATTTGACGAGACACTTAGTGCTGCTCATCACTAACAAAAAATTGACATTCTCAGCTTTCCTTTCTCCTCTAGTACGGAGAAAAGCAAAAGGCCCCTATGAGTTTGTGGTCGATAACTGCAACTTCCAAATAAAGATGACTTTCAGAGTGAATATCACGGTGGATAAAGCCCTTAATAACAGTGTTTTACCTTGTAAGCTTTTGACCCGTTCACCTGTTTCTTTTTGATATTACGCCATGTCTAAGAGGTGGTTTTACGAAGTGACTCTGCAATCTCAAAGCAACACACTATGGGCTAAACGACCGAATGGATTATAACATCCTTGAACATAAACCATTTAATTCCTTGGTCTTTGCTTTCGTTGCAAGTCATTTTGAGGCCACTGTTGGGAAACCTTTGGGAAAAGAGGCGTAGCCTATGTCACTCGTACAGCATTCGCTGCGGTTGATTTTCAGATTTCAAGTACTTCGTGGATAAAAATTGTCATTTGAAATGTAAATACTGACTCAGTCATTGAAAAAGTACAATCGTTCAACCTCTAGGGACAATTTACTCCCAAACACAAGTATTCCTTACATGCAGAGGAATTGTTTAAGATTGATTTTTGAAGAGTTTTTGGGTGTTGTATGTCCTTCTAAACGACCTAACAAGGGTTACTTTATCTTAATGTTTCATCAACAGCACTATTACATTCTAACTTCTTATCTCGATCATGACTTCCAGAGAACATATCGACCTTGCCAGATGATATACAAGTGAAGGTGCACATCTTTCGCATGGCTACCCTTACAGGTTGTGGTATCGCTGCTGTGGTCGCATTGGTTAGTGCGTCAGCATATGCTATTCAAAAGAGACGGACACGACGAGTCTTCAATGTCAGGTAAGAACCACAGTCGCTTGAAACGTGAAACTCCATAAAACTTCTCTTAGATTACAGCAGAAAATTACCTCGCTAGGTGGTTCATGTATTCACATTATGATTCTGTACTTTCTAATGTTGACATCTTTCAGTAACGTGATTACTTTCCTCATTTTTCAGGAAGAGAACAATGAGTATGACGCCTATAGCTAACAGGACAGCCACCGACTGTGAAGGTAGAGGTATATATAGATTAGGAAAGAAAAAAGGGGGAAATCAGACATATTCGACTTTCAAAAGCCTGTTCCAGCAGTAATTCGGTCTTTCTAAAAGTTCCCAATGAATCAATATTTGCAAATAACACCAGTCCTGGTTTACATTTTTTTCATCCTTTACTAGAGATTCCAATTAAGTCATTGTCATCGTTTGGGGGTCGAGGCACGAGATACCAAGGTTATTTTGTCAAATTCCCAGGTAGATGTTCGACTGCCTCGTACGTTGGGATGAAGGATTTACATGAACTTGCGGATCGACAAGAGGCTAATCCTGTCGCACCTGTCAGACCTATTTCCTGCTTATCAACGTCTACAACCTTCTCTATGGTTGAATCTTTATCAGAATTGGGGGACACGATTTACGAGGTTCGCGAGTCTAATGTTCTGGACGCGTTGAAGAAGCAGCCACCTAATCCAAGGTACACCAACTACAGCGTGTTTTCTGTCGATGCAACACAACGGCTGGATCAGAGACTAAGCTCAATCAAGGATGGGTTTAGTATTGGTGGACTCAGTGATTCAGACGATGAGTTAGAATATAACTATCCCTACGCAGACTTTTCATTGAGGTTACCCGCGGCTGCCGAGATGACACGAGACAGCAGAGAACTTAGACCATGCTCCAGCAACACCGAGTACGTCGTAGTCCTTAATCAACACAAAAAAGTTGCCTGTTATACCCCAGCAGAGATCGAGCAAGGACTTCAGAGGGAAAGGCCAACTGGAATAAGTTTCAGTACAGAAACAGTTCCAATGACTGCGCCCTCTGTTCCTAAACCCTTGCCAAGTCCTGAAGAAAGCTTATCAACTGACTCCAAAACAGGCCATTACCAAGTTCCTCGTTCTCCACCAATCCAACGCTTTGTAGATCCCAGCAATCAAAAGTTCGCGCGAGGTTACGTAACCTCAGTGAAGAAATCGTCGAGTCTCAAGAGAAGCTCTGATCATCGACGGACGAGGCGCCTTAAGTCAGCCATAGTCAAGTGTCCTCCCCCTCCACCCTATAGCCCACCTAAGGTTGACAGGTTACCTCCACTCTATGTCAACAACCGCACCAATGCAGGGGGAGCAAGACACAAAGTATCGTTTAAGAAGAAAGCACCGCCGATACCAAAACCAAGAACTCGCCATACAGGAGGAACGAACCCTGTCAAGTCTCAGGAAGCCGAAAAAACATCCATGGAAACGACAGGGATGGAACGATTTATTTAGCACAATTTACAGAACATGTGTCACGCACAAAAAATGTAAATAGGTAGAAAGAACCACGAGATTTTTAAGGACAAACACGTCTGTAAATACGGGAACGATGACATTTGTTGCAAATTGATTCCTTCATTAGTTTTGACATGCTATTTCACTGTAATTAGTACAACCATTATCCTATTATCATATTTTGTATTACATGCAAAGTCGAACCTTGTTAAAAGACAACTTAATACAACATTCTACTTAAAAGAGAATGTTAGGTTCAAATGCTTCATCTTTTATTGTTTTCATTTCTCATCTGACAAGGTTCTGTTACAAGGTACTCTGCAAAGCCACAAGACCTCTTGTTAAAGACGTTTGAAGGTATCTCACAACGCATCGATGTTTATCTTCGAAGAATTATTCTCTGACCAGATCAACATAAAGTGGATTTCGGTTTAAATGTTGGCATGTGGCTACATCTTCAACCTCTTGCAGAGCAAATACTAATCACAGGCTGAACATATACTTCCAACTGAAGTAATAAGTCTTGATGTAATTTCGTCTTCTTAGTTCAAGGATTGCAAGTAACAAGAAAATACTTTTCTTTATTCAAATAGACGACTTTAGAACTTATAAATGACAAATGTGTGTGGTATTCAACAGTTTTTATTAATAAAAATTTTACAAGCCATTCAAAACCCCCTTTTCCTTCGTTTCTCCTATAAATCCAATCACTGACAAACAAGGAATGAGTCAATGTAAATTCAAAAAATCTTTTTGACTTGTTTCTTACACCGATTTAATGACTTTTGAGCCCATCTTTGACAACCTAACCGTATTAAATTATTAAAATTGGATGACTGAGTAGCTCAAGTGTTGATTATACAAAAGGAGGGCAGACTAAAACATTGGTACATTCCATGCAACTGATCTTGAAGAAGGAATTCCTGTACGTATGAAGTCTGTAAAGACAACAAATAATACGCCAAATAAATACATGTATATCCTTTAAATAGACTTTGTTACAAAGAAAAAGGAGTACATGAACATGGAGTTGTAATAAACCTTTTATCCGTCTTTTATTTGCCCCTATTCACATGAATATAATGTCACTGTTCCAAACACCTCTACCAACCCCAAAAAATCAAAGATATGTTATTCTCTCAGTTTCTTTCCAGAAAACTTTTTCAAAGTAACTTTTTTAATTAAGCCCAAACAAGTTTGAACGAGGCCATTGGTACCATCAGCATTTATCCCATCTCTGGGTTTCTCTCAAGTCCACACATCCTCCAAGTAACGCTTCTCTTCACGTAATGTTGCTAGGAGACACGCTGCTTCATAAGCACTCCTCCCTGTCTCCTGCATGAAGATGTCACTCCATGTGGCAGTCACATTCTTAGCCATGTTCTTGGCATCACTGATAAGGACAGAAACAAAACAGGTTTTGATGAGGAAATAATACGCAGGATAGAGAAAGGTACAAGTGGTTTTCATGCACACTGGAGGAGTTTGGAGGATTTAAGAAGCTTCCTTGCAAAAATCCCTGGGAAGTTTGAATGAATGGGGATTGATTTCTGAGAGAAGCACTTACCCACAAACGTAAATCACTGCCTTGTCCTCTAGAATCAGTTGACTGAGTTCAGTAGCATGTTTCCTCATGTTATCCTGAACATAGCGAGGGACATCAGGTACATTCCTTGCTCCTGCAATCTCACTGGTCACTGATTGGATCAGATCACGTGAGAAGGACAAGCAGAGTTTGGACAAGATACCAGAGGACAGATGACCCTCAATAACCTCCCTGTTGAGAAATAATGACCACTTGGCTTCATCTGATATTTAGCATGAGAGTATTAGGCATTAACAAAGTTCAATAACATAAAAGTCTCATCCTTGAGGGCAAAAGTTACGCATTTCCCTGACAAAAAAGTTTTAAGTGCATTTGTTAACCGTTAAACAGGAATCTATGTGAGGGTTGAAGTCCTAGAGGTTCCTTTGACATGTTCAAAAAAGTTTCCAGGGAACTCAAGTTACATTCAGGTATCACTAACCTGTACAAGAAATCTCTATCCCGATGTCGACAACCAAATAATAGCCAAGCTGGACCAAGACACACTCCTGTCTGCTGCATACAAGCCCTATGCTGTAAAAATCCTATAAAAGGAGCCACACCTGTGCCTGGTCCAATCATTATAATGGGCGTGGTTGGGTCAGCTGGGAGGTGGAAATGCTGATTGGTGCGTTCAAAAATGGGTATCTAAAAAAAGGGAAACAAAAATGTTACAACTCAAAACAAAAGCAAACTGGAAATGAAGTCCACTCTCGCAAAGAATTGATGTGATCAGTACACTGTACTTCCATCCCAAAGAAATACATTGTATGACTAACCCTTATCTCTGGATGAATATCAAGTTGCAACATCTGACTATGCAATGAATCATCTGAATAGTGTTGGATTTTGGTCAAGTGATTAAGCCATCCTGTGCAAACTCCTTCACGTTGCTTGTTCCTCCCTTGCTCTTCAGAAAAGACCACAATGTTGAAGACAAAATGCAACTTGTTGGAATCCACTAACGGGGAGCTGTAACAAGAATGGCAAATGACGGTTATCTTTTAATACTAATTCTAGTGATCCCTTCCTACTCATTCCTCCCATGCAGACTTGTAAATATCCAGAACACACTCATGTTCACTTCTGCCATTAGCTCTGCCAGATATTTTCCATTTACACAATGTCTATGGCCACAATTTGACCTTCAAACACATGACTACTCAAGCCCAACGTCACAGAGCAACTCAGCAGAAAATTTTGCTCAGTAAATCTTTGTGCTGGCCAAAATAAACCAGTCATGATTGGTTTGCCGGTTTGTCACGATTCTCTTTTAACAGAGCAGCTCTATGAAATTAGCCCTTGGTTTGAGCACAGAGTATACAAAACAAATTTTCAACTGGATATGCACAAAGGTGCAGCATCTTTGCATGAAAGGAATGCATTAAATGAGAGCTGTCCACTACTTACCTTGATATTGAATAAGGTCTAGGCTGTAACCTAGGCAGGTGCTCAAACAGTTGACTCAGAGGAGGACTGCACGATGGGAAAGCTGTTAGGATATCCAATAGCGACAGGTGAGGATCTCGTATGAAGGCACCATAGTCCCCTGCACCTTGTTTACTACACAGTTCCTGCAGTCGACGTTTCTCAGACTCATCACTTGTGTGGTCTATAAGGACTCTCAAGAATGCCTGGAGATTAAGTCAAGATTGTCAGATCTGAAAAAAGCTTTGCAATGAATTGGACAAATGTACATTCTACTGATTATATAAATGTTTTATCCCTAAAACCAACAAGTACTTATGCATACATGCTTGTATTTTCTACGGCACACCATATTCCTTACTAAAGAAAAACATGACACATCGTCAAAAATTCTTCCAGACTATTCTGTTTAGTATGTTAAATGTAAACAACATTTGAATGTCCACGTTCATTCTATGGGTATCTCAAGATGACAAAGAAATATGGAGTTAGTTTTGCAATCTACCTTCTTTGGTGGACTCCTTATATCACAGCAATGCAGAAAGGCATGCCTTAAGGAGCAGAGGGGTGTGGGTATATACTCTGGTATTGCAGCACGTCTCTTCTTAGTTCCACTTAGCACCTGCAGACTCAATGGGCAGTCTGCCTTGTCTGCAAGGCCGAGCCTTTGTATGAGGTTACTGACCTCTTTACTATCGTTAGGACAGATAATGCTGAAGGAATCTCCCGGTTGGTACTGAATTCCACTCTCCTGAACATAATTTTAAGTATCAGAGTTGAAATTAAGAATGAAATTTGATGACATACAAGATTATTTCATTTTTCAATGGCCAGGGGATATATGTATCTACATATTCTAACATTTCAACATATTCCTTGAGAGATTCACATTTCAACTTGGGAGAGAAACTTACAGAAATATCTAGTTCCAGGTCAAGCGCTGTCTTGACAGCATCTTCTCTGGTCAGCCTAGTAGCAGAGACAAACTTTACCATGGTAACAGAGGAAGCAGCAGATGGCATGGGTGCTCCACCTTGAAGAGGAAGATCATCTGTGTTCTATAATAAACAAATGTTGGAAACAAGGTATTCATGGGGTGTAGTATTTTCTCCAACAACATAAAGAAGATGATGAGCACAGATTGAATACCACTGATGAATGGGATGAAAGCAGCATCTTACCAAGGTCTGTTCAGTATGGAACTCCACTTCAAGGAATGCAGGTGAAGCAACAGGCAGTGTAAGACCACTTTCAGATAAGGGTGGGATAGACCTAGTCAGTGAGGCACAGCTTTCTGTGTTAGAGGAAGATCCTGATATACCGATTGGCTCATCGCTGTTTTTAGCAGGTGTATCTTCACCACCTGTTCTTTTAAGCACTACATTCTGTTGAGTGGCATCATCAGACCCAGACAGTGAAGTAGTGGGCTCTTTCTTTGATGATGGGGAGTTACTGAATTGGTTTATGACTGAAGCTATAGTGCCAGACGCTGTGCCATTCGCATCATTTTTAATACTCATTTCCTCTGCAATACCAGGAGTTTTGGAAGGTCTTGATGACGCTGGAAAACCTTGATTACTTGTCCTTTCCTTGGCAGAACTGTTTTCGGCATTTTCTGAAGTTCTTGATTCAGATTTAAGAGCAGAAGATACTTCCTCACCCTTCACTTCAGTGGGGGACTGGACATTCTCCATCAGGTTTGAGGATCTATCACTAGAATCAACAATTTCATTTCTAACTTTCATTCCCTGGTTTGAGTCACAGGTACCATCAGTTGCTATAACTGAGGTGTCAGTTTGACTCTCAGAGACACAGTCTATGCCAAGATGCTTTCTAAGGGCTGGATATAGTCCTTCAATCCAGGGTTCTGCAACAATTTCTAAGCTGCAAAAGATCAGAGGAAGAGTCAACTACTTCTAAGATCAATAAAACTCAGCAATTAATTCAGTGCAGAGATGTGCTTTTGACTTATTAAGCTGATCTGGGAAATTAATGATGACTTCTAAGAAGAAATAACAAGTTGGTAGTAACATTTTAAAAACAATGAACCCAAGTAGCTGGCACGCAGTAACTATGAGTAACACCTGTTCCTAAAGCAAGCATGTTTTGAATTGAAGGAAAGATAACAATCTGAAAACAAAGGCATTACCATAGGGAATCAAAATTCTAATGTTAAGTAATTGCCTTGACAACTCTCACCACTTCATGGGATGTGGGATTACAATTGGTTATTCCCCTGTGATTTCAATGCAAACTGGACCAGCAGAAGGCCCTAGCAGAACTCACCCGGTCGCATCATCAGCAAAGCCAGATGGATAAAAGCGGCTTGCTCCAAGCTCTTCAAGTCTTTGGTCAAAATTTTTGCCATTGCGACAGAAATTAGTGTAGTTGGAGTCTCCAAGACCTGAATAGACAGCACGCATGCATGGACAAATAGATTACATGTATGACACAATCACACAGAATCAGGACTGTTAAAAAAACTAATTTTGCCCATTGGATGATTGGAAGACAGGAGTCAAGAAGTTGTTAATAACTTAAGTTTCTATCCTTGCCCTTGCAGCATTGTATCCTTGAGAATCCTTGTACATGTAGTTCTTGAAGAGCCTCTTCAACCAACAACTTCTGCCACACACATTCTAAGTCTAAGAGTATACAGTAACATTTTCAAATCAGCCATCAGAAAACTTTACAGCATTCAGACTGTGCAGAAACTAGCACCTATAAGGAACGTACCCAGCAGAGTAAAATGAACTCCAGCAAGGTGATCACTAGGTAATGTTTTCTTTTTGATGCGACGCCAGAACTTCTGTGCAGTATCTGGTGGCTCACCATCTCCTGTTGTAGAAACGACTATCACAATGCATGTCTCTTTTTCGATGCTGAACTGCAAAAAGCATCATGAAGAAGACGTGCTTTAAACACTTACATGTATGTTTCATTTTCCAAGCATTATTCACTGCTCAAAGAATATTCATTCTAAATGTTTTACACATCTGTGTATATTATATATTACGGACCATTAAGACTTTTCTCTACAAGCACTCTTTGGCAAACCTACATGTACCATTGGCCTTTTGTTCATAAACAAAAAGAAACATTCTCCTTGAACTGGTAGTATGGTAGTTCACCTACAAACATTTAGACTATGTTGTCGATAAAATTCAATTCTGCTTATAGCTAACAAAAAGGCTTTTTAAATCACTGATTGATTGCATGCATGGATTTCATTAATTTTCACCAGACTTCCTGTTGGACTTTTTCATCCATGTCGTTATGGAAACTTACCCCGACTCCTTGTACACATTTCTTTACACAAATCTTGGATGCATTCCCACTTGGACTTGGTTACAAGGGCGAAATGTTAACTTTCCTGTGTGGTTAGCTAAATGCGGCATAGCGCAGATGTCTAAATTGTATATTCACGCGCTAGCTACCATGCTGTTTGAGTGGTTACATTACACAACAGGAATTTTTATAATTTCCTTACTGCTACAAAAAAGTTTTACCAACACAAAACTAGATCATGCTTCTAAACATTTTGATTAAATCTTCTATAACACCTGTGAGGCAAATGTGCAGAAATGTGCACAGGGCCATCATAAAAAATAGCAATGTGAGCATATACCTGTACATATCAATACACACAAAGGAGTCAGGAAACCATTCTTCACACAAGGAATTTTAGATTGTACTCTTGGAAGTTTTACAGCAAGGTGCCATTCCCATCCGATTAATCAGGGATTCTGTAAAACTATCTCAGTTCAGCAAAACCCTCTGTGCCCATTTTCAACTGAGAATCGTAAAACTTGCAGGAATATCAATTCTATGGGTCTTCCAACTGGACTTAATTGTAATTCAGCCTTTGTGGTACAATGTATATCAAATACGTTCGATGGGAACATGGATTTCATTTTACCTTCTTGTCAGTCATACTGAAGCAGTGCATCTCTGGCTCCAATCCATGATTTGGTGACATCTCAAAGATTTCTTCAGCTATGGCCTTGGCCTGGCCGGTCTGAGAGCCATATACGAGGAGAAACCGCCCTTGATTTCCTTTCGTCATTGTATCAAAATCCACAATCTGAGATAAAAGTTGTGAAATAATTTAACAGGAATTACGCTTGCTTTATCTAACATATCAAGTGACCTTTGGTTCAGTTCTTAACATTATTGGTATTTCCAGGTAATTTCTTAGTGTCATTCATTGCTACCTGGCTTCACACGTACATGTAAATCACCTGCACATCCAGTAGGCCTAAGAACCTGCCTATCACGCTCATCTATCAAAATAAACCCTTTCGGTGTTTGAAATACATTATGTGGCTTGGATTGCAAACAAGAAATATATTTTATGCATTAACCTATGGGGGAAATGAACTAGTGAACCAGTTTTACAATTATCTTCAGAATATTTTTAAAGTACATGTATCTGCTTACCACCTCACAGAAGCATGCATAGTATACAAGGAAGATTTTCCAAATAACAATTTTTGAAATGTTTGTAAGAAGAAAAATCACCTTCAATTATCTTTTTTTTTAAGGGCACCAGTCATTCTAGGCTGAAAATAACATGATTGGTCAATGTGGGATGAATGAGCTACAAGTCATGATTTTCAGAGGCCATACTTGGGCATTAATATTCACAATCTTAGTCAAAGCACGGTCCATGATAAAAATGCAACACTCTGTGAGAAGAGGATGGCTTGAATTGGAATATGTAATAAAATGGAAGCAGATTAATGTTTTCCGGGTACACCTCCCATTGGATTGCACTTAAAATGGATTGCTTGTTTGTCAACCAAACCCATAATGCATTGCAACGCCTCAATGAGAGCTGGGTTTCGAGATAAAAGTAGAGAATTTCTGCACTGATATGCTCTCACTTTGAAAAAATGGATAACGATAGCTCTTTCCTCCAGTCTAGTCCATCATGTGGTCTAGTGTAGTAGTTGTTGACACTGGTCTTGGTCTCGAGGCCAGTTTGAACGTGGTCTTGGTCTTGAACATGCTGGTCTTGGCCTCCGATCACTGGTCTCAGTCTTGGTCTCGAGTCATTGGTCTCGGTCTTGATCTCGCGCCTTTCGGCCAAGAACAGTACAAGACCAATTTAAACATACACTTTGCATCGTTTCACACCTGATTAGTGATGAATTTTTATTGTTTGTAGGTCTACGAAAAACTTGAATAGAGACCCTGCAAGACGTGTGTACAGCCATTAAGGGCTGTGGCTATGGCTGGCAGTCACATGCCATGCACAAACTTCACCCTTTGCACGAGCTTTGTGTGCACCCAAAATTACTACTTGCGCAGCCAAAGTCTAAAGCTTTCACACTCGTAGTTTACAGATGCAAAGTTGAACCTTGCACCAGGAAGAAGTTAGTGTGTGACAGCCCCCAAAATAATTGTCACTGGTTACCAGTTGTAAAAAGATATTCGATTTGTTGTCGTCAGGGTACCTGTGAACCCGTAGTAACATTGCGTGGTCTGGTAACTAGACACGTATTTATCCACTGTTTGTTGATTTCAAACTTGACAAACAATACATCATTCCATGATAGCATTTTTTGGCAAAACGCATAAACATAAGAGTGCCTTTGCCTTGGTGGTGAGTAAGTTTGTTAACATGGTTGATGTCACAACATTCACTGGTCAAAACGTAAACACATCACTGAAGAATGCAAACTGCAAAGTACATGTACATGTAGCAACAAAAACAATGCTCAATTCCAGGACCATTCTGTCAAATTAACGCATACATGTAGTTCTGTGGTTTATAGCCCATCTTCACAGTTTTATGACAATGTACAGAGATGGTAGGCCTATGACTATGACTTGACATGCTTGAGCATGAGTGAGATCATGAGGTCGAGGAATTTTGGGTTTCACCTTTCCAAATGGTTCAACATTTTCTTTAAATAACACAAGTTGACCCAACCGACCAAACTGTTCCATGAAGGAAGGGAAAGCCTTTTAAAACAACGCCAACTTTCGCTGAAACTTACGCTTTAATCGAAAACAGAACACAGCCCTAAGAAGAGCCAATTTCGAAGTGTGTCGCAAAAACCACAGAGACGTCATGAACGTGTCACTTTCACGAAACCACGGAACGCCGCGTTAAATGCATGCTACGCATCTCAACAAAAGTAGGCTTGGGCAATAATTACGTAATAAATATCACCTTATATAATTAGTTTGAAAATTTCTTTAAAAGGAATAATGAAAAATTGATACTAAATGTAAAAACGTAATTATAGGTCATTTTGAATTGGAAATATTCTTATTTTTGGTAAATTGATATTACATTTTCAATATAATTTAACAAGCCTAAATATGTCTGCGCCCTGTGGAGTGAAATGTTGGTGATTTTGAGGGCACCTAATTTTTCTTAGATCTGCATTGCCAGTTTGTTTGAAGTTTAAAATACCCAACAATGTCAAAGATAGACAAATTAAGATTGTTGAGGTCCTTGCTGCGGGAACTTCGAGAAGCAAAGATGGTAGGCTAACGGCCTTTGACTCTTTGAGTTTGAAATCAAAAGACTCACCCCAGACATGCCAGATAATGATACGTGTACTAACTGTGTGGCTCATTGGGAGATTCGCAAATTATCCGTGATTATGAGCCATAAGCCTTATTGCTAATACTGCATGGGTGATTTTGTACAATGGTAAAAAGGCATTGTGGGAAGGAAAATTCGGCAATGTTGGCTCCTTTTTACTTCCCACCATGCCTTTCTACCTTTGTGCAAAATCCCTCATGCGGTATTAGCAATAAGGCTTAAGTTATGGCATAGGGCTTGGTTTTCAAAGCAAATTAAGAACCAGTCATTTGGAATTTGCAGTTGTATACATGTATTTAGTAGAGAGACATGACAGACAAGTGTAATCTAGTAATTACTTGGAAATTAGGCTAGGCATGCTAGGTAAATCGTGTTATGGTTATTTTACATTGCTCATATCAGTTTTCAGCCGGCATGGTATAAATATCGAAAGAATTAATGGGTTTCACTCTTATACATGTATATTATTATTTCATGCAAATACCCTGTCTGTTATTTTCAGAGTTCCCCGAGGAACACAATGGCCTATGGTTACTTGATGGATCAGTTCCGAAAAAATCAAGTTACATCCGAGAAATTCTGCAAAGAACACAATGAAATGTGGCATCAGGCTCAGACGTATCTGTGTATGCTCAAGAGTACAAGAGAACATGAGGTAAATATCTAGAAAATTAATCTCTAGAATTAAACTGATTTACATTTCAGTGAGGAGGGGTGTACTGAGTTTCTTCTGAACCAGGAACAAGAGGTTGAAGTGCATGAAAAAATGAATTTATTGTTTTATATCACAAACATCTGTGATAATCATTATCATTGAATTAATTTTGTCATTTCAGGCATTGCAGGCTGCATACAAGAGGGGTGAAAGAACAGTGGAAGAAAGTGCCAAACTAGTTGGATTGAAAATACCCAAGCCCTATGAAGAGTGATCCCATTTCTAATGCTTCACTTATTTCATTATCTCTGTATAAAGACGTGTGAAAAATTGTAAATACTTGTAGTTGCAAAAAAAGAATGAAATTATTCAGTATTAATGGATGGTCAAATGTGGACAAAGCTGCACTTCCCCCAAGTCAAAGATATTGGCAAATCCACTGCTTCAAAGCAATCTAAGACAAATGAACAAGCAGAAATAGAAAAAGGGATAGACAAAATAACAGCAGAAATAATTTACTAAATGTCATTAGAATCAGAAAATTCAACGTAGAGAAGTATTCCATAAATGTAATAAACTATATATTACTATTTTTTCTTTTGTGCTATCTGAGGTTTACATAATACATGTACATGTTAGTTTTAATTTATTAGGCAGACTTTGTGACGTGATTTTCAAACATTGAATAAATTTTGACAGAAACCTGATCAGAAAATTGTCAAGCTTGCTCAATATCTGGGAAGTTATTTCGCTCTTCTCGAAGATTAAAACAATTTTAATCTCTGTTTCATTGTAAACTTAGGTCATTTTGTAAATTCTCCAGTATAAATAGACGTGTTAGAAACCAGCTGTGTGTGTTGACTAAACAACAATTACACGACACAAAGCACCCATGTACTGTGTGTGCATCGCGCCCACTAGTCCATGGAACGTATGTAGCGCCCCCATCGGTTCCTCACAATTAGTCTATAGTCGGGTTACATGCTGATGGGAATTGAAGCTCCGAAAACTACTTATGAAGTCTGGGTAGCCGGTCCTCTCGTATGGTCCACTATGGCAAAGGATTTCCCAGCTGCCGATTTAGTGATTATTCTTTTGAATTGAAGGTAGTTAAATCGTTTTTACCCCCGTTTTTCTCCTACCATAAGAACGATTATGTCATAAATGATTACTAATCATTTTAGTCATCTCATCGAGGCCGTTTCTAATAATTTGTCATGCTTGTTTTCTTCACATTTTCACCTTGTCTGTGTCAGGTCATGGATATGGTTGTCATTAGGGCCTTATTTATTTTTGATAATGGCACCAAGGATTACTCCAAAGCGCCCCAAGCACTGTAGCTCACAAACCTGAAGAGACCTGTGGAGAAGAGACAATCTGACAATGAAAAGCAGTTACAGTTTCAGATGTGGGACGAAAACCCCAGAAGAATATTCTGGGTAAAACCCACGGAATCAGGTAGGGACTGAAAACCCAATCCGCATGTGGACAGGTGGACCAAGCCAGGAGTTGAACATGAACTGCAGAGGAGGAAGGCAAGCAAAGAACCACTTTGCCAATCCGACTCCCTAACTAAACGTCGATTGCACTGCACTATCAGTTAATCCTGTGCAAAATATCCGACTTTAATTAAGTTTCCTTCCACAACCATGAATTAGAAAGGTGCTATTGACAGATCATACCACAAGACCGACTATTACACAGAGATCTCAACCAACATTGGCTTGCTACCATGCCTGTGTAACTGTACTTTACATGGTTAATTTGTTTATCATGTTGTTTGTCATGATTGTAACTTATTGTTGCATCTGTTTTGTGTTCAGATAATTAACGTGAACAGGAGAACAATGTTCCAAAGCAGCACACAGAAACACTTCTGGACTTTCAGCAATGAGCAAGACATTTATACTCTCAGGAGAGAGGCAAACAGCACTTACATTAATCAACACAAAGGAGCAGCAAAGAGAATGGTTTGTGACTTGAGTTCATGCTACCAAAGGTTCTGTTATTACATATGTGTACCTGGGGTCCAGCTCATTCACTTCTCTCCCTCTTTTCCAAGCTTCCTTTCTCCATAAGTCTTAATTTTCTTCATGTAGGGGCAAGATGTCAAATCCTTCTTTTTGTTGGCAGAGGAGGAACACATATTGTGTCGTCACTATGAACATCTCCTAAGAGATTTCTGTCGGAGATTTGAGCCACCCATGCCACCTGCTGTTAAGGTAATAGACAGTGTTACTTCATAACAGTCTTTTTAAAATTCAAGACAGTCAAAAGTACCCAAATTTATGAAAAGTCATCAGTTAGCCGGTTCCTGTCTCGTGTGAAGCCAGGGCATACAATTATGAAGACCTCCTGATTTAGCAGTTTGATTTTAAAGAGAAGTCTTATCAAGGTAAGGTTGAATGTGTGGAGAAATGCATGATCACATTGTTGATAAGTAACCATAGCTCTTTACATTTTGTGAAATTGAAGTTCATCTGATGCTTGTCTCACAGGGAACAGCCTGTGCTTATTTCAAAAGATTTTATCTGCGTAACACTGTTATGGATTACCATCCCAAGTTCATCATGTAAGTACACGTACCATCTTAGAATTGAATATCGTCATTCATGTTATCTCTGTGTTAGTCATTAGCCAAGTAATATAATAACCGAGTAACGTAACAACCAAGGGTGCTATTCTTCTGTGCTTGCAGGTTGACCTGTGTCTATTTGGCCTGTAAGGTGGAAGAGTTCAATGTATCCATCACTCAATTCTGTGCCAATCTCTCATCTGACCAAGAGAGGGCAGCAGAGCTGATATTAGTCCATGAACTGTTGGTTATGCAGCAGCTAGACTTCCATCTGACTGTTCATAATCCTCTCCGGCCGTTAGAGGGCTTTCTCATTGACATCAAGGTAGTAAGATATCTATCAAGCAGTAGACATTATTAGCCATGTTATAAATAAGTTACTCAAACCATTGAAAGCTTCCAAAGGTTAAATATTGCAAAGTTGCCGAGGTTGAAATCATCGATTTATTTCTCATTTATCAGACTCGTTTCTCATCACTGAGTAATCCAGAACAGTTAAGGAAATCTGCGGATGAGTTTTTGCAGAGATCTTTTGCAAGTGATGTCTGTCTGCTATATACTCCATCCCAGGTTAGTAGAGGGTCATACAGGTTGTTAGAGATCCATTGAGCCGAGTTAGGTTGTTTGTACTACAAGCATTAATCAATTTCAATTTTGTGAGTAAATGTAATAAAAAGACCTGACGTGCTAATTAACCATAAATTGAGTGCATTTGTTTCAAATGTGCTTCAGGTGGAGTAAGTCATGCAACATAAGTCTATGTGATGTGTTTTCCTTTCAGATTGCTTTGACTGCATTAGTGACAAGTGCAGCTAAACAGCGTGTCAACATTGACAAGTGAGTTCTCACAGATGTAACAATGGGAAATTGAGACAAACTCAGGAAGATCTTGATTCATATTCTGTAAGATAATTACAAAGGTTTTGGATATTTGATTTCTGTCAAAGTTCAATAGAAACACCAGGGCTTATCCTTTGAATGTTCACCTGACCATGAAAGTGATGAACCCAGTTTGGGCCTAATCTCATTCCCTTTGTTAAGGTATGTGACAGACTTTCTTCTCAAGAGCTCTGATAAGAAGGAACTACGAGACCTTGTCAGCACCATCAAAAGTATGTGCTCTGAATATTTTCTTTCATTTTTCAAAGATATTGTACTGAGTGACAATTTCCCTTCCGCTGACGGATCAAACACAAACCCTGAGCATAAAATCCAGGTTTGTCTATTCCCTGACCCCTCAGTTGGAGGACAGAGGTCACGGTTGTCTTCCATGTCCTCTTGAATTGACACTAGCTTTGTGTGATTTGTTGCAACAGGAGTTAGATCCATGGTCAATAACATCCCACCACTGGACATTGAAGTGGTTAAGGCCCTGGAGGAGAAACTAGAAAAGTGTGGCAATCCTGAATTAAATCCAGACAGTGAAGAGTGAGTTTTTACTCCTAATCGATGACTCACCTGTGGTTAGTTGTAAGCATGACATTAAATCATCTTCACTCTTGTCCAATAAATTATGATCTTGCCAACAAATTCCTCTAGTAATTCTTGTGAAGAAACTCAAAATGTTTTAATCCTGAACTAACTTCAAGCAGTAATGAATATGACCGCCTATTGAGCGACTTATAGAATGCTTTTTATCTGCACCATTGTCTATTCACCATATTCTACCCGGTTTACTTTGGTTATAACCCTGCTTGGCCTTCATGTTGAATGAATCGCCGAAGCAATGCAATACCTCAGGTATTAAGTGTGGATGCAAACACAGCACCAAGTGCCATTATTTTGTGATCAAGGCCCTACAGGATTTCTCACCAAGCTTTCTGTTTGCCTTCCATGTTTAGATACAAGAGAAAACAGCAAGAATTTCTGGATGCAGAAGATGAGGATTTCTCACTAGGGATCAGCAGTGCTCAGGACAAGGTATCTTAACATGGAACTGATCAGTCATGATACAGGGGATGAGGGTGACATTATGGATCACAATTTTTAATTGGCAGGGAAGCAGTTGCAGAAATGTCTTCAGTGTCTCATAGAGGTTTTCCTTGCTCAGCAGACATTACCGTAGAACCAGAAATAAGTTACATCTATCACATATTTCAAATGTTAACCTGTCATTTTCTATGCCTAGTAAATGTATATGTGGCAGGTGAATCACGCTGCATGTGAGTGCTGGTCCAGTTACTGACTCAATAATAATCTGTCATATGTTAGTGATGTTACTATAGTTACATAATAGATGGCAACAGATCAAGTTTCACAATGTGGTTTATGGGGAACCAATGGTCGAGATCTTTATTTCGTTTCTTTCCTGTTTTCTGTTTGAACTCAATAGCTACAAACTATCTGGATTATTGAGGTTTCTATTGGCTGACTTGTGGAGTCTTAATGTCCTTTACAATGAGCATTGTTCCTCATGACCCATTACCCCCTGCTGTGTATGTCACCCTGACCCCCCCCCTAGGTTTTGCTACCAAACATTCTTGTCATCCTGTTGGTCTATAATACAAGTAGCACAGATTTCCATGAACCTTCTTGTTATTGGCCTTGGTTGTATGACAGTAAGTCACATGGGGGGAGGGGTAATCTTACATTAAGGGATTATTGATGTGAAGAATTACCCCAGTGGGGGGCAGCCCACCTGCTGAGTACTCAAGCAGATGGCATTATCTGATGGCCCATTCAAGCCAACCGTTATGGTGCAGTTTTTGGTGCCCCTTCAGATGCATTGTATTGAATTTGTTTCATTCATAGTTTATTTAAAGTAACTGTCCTGGTGGGGCATCACCTGACAAGAAGAAACAGGGCACAAAATTAGAAGCAAGATTAGAAAGTGAATCTCTGTAACACCATGTTATGTCCAGTATTACTTTGGTGAAGGAATAAAGTGCACTTATTCACTCCAGCTTGTAACAAATCCTCCAAGGTGGCAGACAGTGCTCTTGGCTTGGAAATTTATTTTTAGCATTTCTCCAAATGGAAAGTATTGCTATCTCCTTTGGCTTTGTTGTTAGCAGGACATTTTTGTTTTACTTTTTACAGCTAATGAAAGGCTTGTTATTACGCCGGCAACATTTCCACAACAGAATAAAACCATCGTTAAGCTTCTCGAAGAATCAGTGGTGCATAGCACTATTTTGAAAGAAAAGGCCAATTTTCAGTACCTAGAATGCGTACCTTTTCATGCTCAAAGGCAGTTTGAAGTGAACAGATAAATACAATATGACTTTATAAAAAAAACCTAAGTGAGAGACGTTATCAATACCTTCATTTGTTATCCCGTTGAGATTACATTCTTGTGACATTGTCATTCAAAAACCCATTACACTACCTCTTTCACTCATCACACAGTGCCCCATTTGGCTCCTTTTAACCTTGAGTCTATATTCCGAAATTTAAAAAGCCGGCACATATTGATTTCACAAAGATGCAGTCGTGTTTTCCTTTCTAGCCATTTATTCCGTGTTCGAAAATGTCAAGTTTTTTTTACAAAGATTGCTTAGTATTTACAGAAAATAAATGAAATATGTAGCTTTTCAATAATGCTTCCACAATGTACTTCTTGAGTTTTGGGAGTCGTAAGTTGAAAAATTACTCAAAGAAGTTGCATGCTTTGATTTTAGTGCAGAGATATTCTCATTATTCCATGTTCTTGGAAAGCTAAGTTGTTAGACACTAGTATTTCCCCTGAGATACATGTTCTGTATATTTTGCAGTCAGTGATCCTTGGGTCACATTTACTAATTCTGTTCCTGTTCACAAAGACTATTTTCCACAAAGCATCTCCTTAACATTGAATTCTGCACCCAGGTCAACTTGAGGTTGTCGGGGCTGGATATCTATGAAATCAACATTTGTTTCCATCCATTTATTGAACCACAGACGTTCTGTCCAGTTCCTGCTGTTTCTATCACCCCAAGCACCTGTTCAATTGATTGGGTAGTTTTCACTATCCCCTTCAGCCCATCCCTAACCCCCTGCTCATATGCCCAGACGTCTGTCAGTAGATGTGACACACCATTCCCACCCCAATTGAGCCTTATCCTCTCTCACTCCCTCCTAATGCATTCACCAGATGTGAGGAACAGAGAAAAATAAGATAGTCCCACAAGATTTGGCCAAATTTGACAATTCAACCACCCGTATCAATCAGATGTTGGAAAGCTAAAACATGTTAGTATAAAACATGTATTTTATGGGAAATTTAATACGATTGTAGTTGGTTTGGATGATATTGTTTAAGATAAATTAGGACCGAAGGTTTGTGGATTTTGTCAGTGTGTACTCATTTTGACTTCTTTGCACTTCTCCGTTTCTTGTAGAAAAGCCAACGACGTGAGGTAGAATTACTAATGAGTGTGTGACACAAGATTGGCAAGTGGCTAGGATGAGGAAATTAACCATGCAAGATGCCACAATCCTTCTAATTGTCAGAAATGATCAGCAAGGTTGGATGACTTTGAGGTGTGAGATGAGCTGTATATGAATGACATGCACAAACCATGACAGTCTTGTGCCCAACAATTAGGCCAGCAGTTACTGCATATTGTTCCCAGACTATATTCTCTTCTTAGGGAGAGCAGCAGCACCAAATAATGCCTGCAGACCATGCAACCCTCCTTGTTGACAGAGATGGGTGGAGTGTGCAGTAATTCCAGCCAATGCGAGTACTATGTGGACTACGTTTTGTCACTCCCTGATTTTAAGGCTCTGCTGAGACGTGTGTGCTGCAGGGTTCTTTTCCTTCTGTTAAAACTGAGACTTTCTTTCTCCTTTCATCCAAATCTAAAGAAGAAAGCTTGGAGGAGAAAAATAATTAAATATCGCTTACATATGAAATTCAGCTAGAGTGTGACTATATATGAATCCATATGTTATCTGGCCAACCCTCACTAAATTACCTACTTGCCTATTTCAACCGTTTATTTTTGTATACTCCTGTACATTTCTTTGGCATTCCTTATATTGTCCCGTTTTCAGCCTCAATCGGTATTTCCAAGCAACAATGAGTTGGAAGCACAGTGCCTACCATTGTAAGCAGACAAGTGCTTTAGAACATCATATTATATCCGACCCTTGTGTCAGTTTTGATCTGATAGCATACCTTCACTAAGTGGTGTGCATTGACTATGAACCCATAGACTTTATTTGAGAAAGAGAAACGCTGTCCACATGCAGGATATAGTTGGGCTAATAAATGGGGGCACGAAGATTGATTTCCGTCATCAGTTCTTTTGTACCTTCCTCGACATTCGTTTCTCAACCATTTCATTTTACACACTCTGTGATGGGATTTGGCATTTGTAACAAAGTAGTGTTACTGTGGGATAACATTCTGTTCTTCAAAGCCATATCTCTGACCATGAATATTAATGATTTATAAATACGCACCATCCCGTGGCATACTTTTCTGAGTGTTGCTCGACATATTATATTTAACTCAAGCCCAAAATATCAACTTTCTCTGTGGTCAAAGATAAGTTTGCGAGAGTTTCATTCTACTTTTCAGATTTGTTCAATTATACTGATCAATGAACGTCTTGGCTCTCGCGTACAAAGTGCGCAAATTTCGTTGTTTTACGCTTCTCTCTTTTTGTATGGAAGTATGTATCGATTGTACAGTTCAAAAGAAGTCATATTATAAAGAAACTTTCAAAATGTTAAAAGTGTTTGGTGTTGTAGTTCCCTTCAATACCCCCTCCCTACCCCAAACGTGTACAGGAGAACACCCTGCCTGCCAATCCGTGCAGAAACTATTCTTTCGTAAGGCCACACACTCATGAATAATCTGCTCCAAGCGTGTGCGTGGGTCCACCCACAAGTATCTCTTGAAGCAACGCGATGGTCTCCGTCGTGACGCTTTGGGAATGAAATCTTTGGGCTAATGATACTCTGAACAAGCCGACACTTCACTCCCTGATCCTATTATGACTGGTCAGACTTTTAGGCACTTCACGTATAGTACTGAATTACCTTGTCTATAATTAGTGCCTTCCTCGGGAGTTGGTCTGAAGTTTAGATTTACTGAAAAAGATAAGGGTACTTCATATTGTATTCAAGTTGGCTAAAATGGTAGCGTGACTTTTGTTACTAGTGGAAAGACGTTTTTCAGATGACACCTGTGTTGTGAAGGAGCATGGTCCAGTCGAATAGACAAAACATCCCCTTAGAACAAACTTAAGGGCTCTGTCTTGACAGACTTGGTGAGTGGAAAATGTCGACCATCTGGCCGGACAAATCGGCAAGGGACACCTGCATAACATCATAACTGTCATCGAGCACTCTAAGCGAGATCGCGTATTGGAGAACTTCTGTTCAGCAATTATGTATTTACAATATCTGTCCATCACCTATTTTTTTGGAAAATGTATCAAATTTTGCACTTTCTGGAGGTATAGGAATAGTCATTTGGCTAAGGGGAAAAGGTTTGGTTGGAGGTTCTAGTTACAAACTTCAAAACACGTCATTTAAGGTGATTTTGTTTTGAAAGACTAGTAACGTCAAGGCACAGGACGTTCATTTGCAAGTCAGCTTAACTTGGAGAAAAAAATAAGATGGACACATGCAACCATGAAGTGTCTTTATTCGGAATGTCCATTTGCTTTCTTTTTGCCAAAGTCTTTTGTAAGTTAACCGTGTAGATATATAAAAAGCCTAGGGATAAAGGGGTATAGGCCTATTTATCCTTCTCGCAGTCTTAAGTTTATGTTGCCTAATAAAGGTCGGTCCATACTTGGCGCGAAAGCAACACCACTACGAATTTGTGACACAAGATCATAATATTGGCGCTGCAAGTTCGCAAAGTCGAGCACTTTTCAACTCGAGCGACATTTTGCAAATCTTTCGTGACGTCGAATTCGTTTCGCATTCACATTCGCCTGTAGTATGAACCAGCTTTTAAGACTGATTTTTATCTCGTAAAACAGGTCCTGCGTACTGCACAGTGAGAGAAAGAAATGGGGTTTTCAGGTCACATCACTCGTCATACACGAGTAACACCATAATATCAGGTTATTCACGTTTAACAGTGTTGACAACTTTGTGACAGTTTTCCCAAACCATGCTTGACCTAAAGGGTACATTGGTATGAATTTATAGTGGTCAAAATACGGATCGCTGGAAATGTGTTTTGCCGTTGTTAAAAATGACATCTTATACGACTTGTTGAGAATGGATGAATAATAATCAAGAGAAATTAATTAAGTAGTTCATGCTTCATTGCAGCACGGTTGAATGGTGGCGAATTCGCTCCTTATCTGATGCAATAATGGCCTAATTTAGTGGACTAAAATCGACTGTACCAACACCTCGAGATATTTGGGTGTAAGGTAAGACGAAAGTCACCCGCAGAGCTGCCTGTATCTTGAGATTTGATCCCAGATAAAATACATCTTCTATTTCACTCAACATAAAGGTTGTGCCAGAAGGTGTCTTTAGTTACAGAGAACATGCTGTGATCTGGAGAAAGATGATATTTTAACATGTCGTTTCGAAGCTAGCACAATTAACGATGCCTTCATTGTAACTGCTGTTGCAATTCCAGAGCTAAAATTTCGGTAGAACTTAAAGTCATCGTAAAACCAATAAACCACTTATTTCTCACATTTGTCACACATTTTAAACGTAATTAGTTCATATTAAAGGGATCGATTTCGCTGAAAATTGTCTTTAAAATTAATATACTCGGATGATAGCATGATCTTATTCTATTCAATTTCAAGGATTTCTGTTCATTTTTTGATGGATCACACGGAAGTGACAAAAGTCAAGGCCTGAAGAAACAGTTAGAATCGACACCAATAAGGCTGGGTCAACTTTGTGTCAGGGTATCAATTAGTTCATTGATGTGAATAAAGAAGATAACAGATATGGATATCCCGCTTGTTGTAAGACACTAAATTCACCTTGAAGCATGTGATGTGCATTAACTGATAACGCCGGACACCAACGCGGCATAAGTACCTGCGCATACAAGTACATGTGTACACTACATTTTGTAAATGTGCACGTACATACATGTTCATGTACGTACATGTACATGTATGTTTACTGCACACTATTGCTTGTGTAACTCCGTGTTCAAGCAAACGTGCATCGCCTACATATATACAGCTCTTCCTGTCCTTATTGACAGTTGTTTCCCTACTCGAATAGAACGAAAATTCAAAGGCACCCGCGACAGCTCTTTCGTTCATTTGGTTGCAATCCGATTCAGAACAATCTACACTGCTTAGACTGAAAGATTCTGCGGTGGTGCGTGGAGAAATCCTTACCCTTGACTGGTACAACAGGAAAGGGTCAGTGCACCACCAGTAGCACTAACCACTAAGGCTCGCGTCAGCCGGCGTACTTCGCCCATTTAACAATTGCACTGGTGTATGACAGGGTTTGCCTCAACCCGCGAGTGAAGAGATCCCGTGTTCCATTTGTATACCAACCAGCCAACCAACTGCCGTCTTCAGTCGTCACGCAGTCATCATAAAACAAAGTAGATTTTTCTCAACAAAAGAGGGAAATCACCGACAGCCAGCCCCCACCGACTGTGACAGTTTGGTCTGGTTGTGTTTTCCCGGAGAATATAAACCCCAGTACGACCAGCCTAATGGCATCGACTGAACAAGTTGAGGAGCAAGTTGCAGCGGTGCCACCGCTAACGCCATCAACAGCGAGCCCGCTGACTCCTAAGCAATGCCGGTTCTCACTGCTGATTGAAACGACAGATGACTTCATGCCACGATCTAAGACCAATCTTGCCGGTGTGACAGAGGACGGTGGGATTGAAGAAAGTGATGAAGATGACAATGAGCGTATTCTGCGCTACGTCGAGGATAATGTAGTCGGAAACGACACCTATTTTCCTGGACCTTTTGGTGAAAAACAAGGTAGGAATTGCCACATCATTTTGTGTCGATATGGTTTATAACAGTAAATGTATAATGTTATATAGTTAGGAACCATTTAAACCCTTCAATCGCAAATTTCAAGTTAGGTGGGCTGTCAATTCCAAGTTGTTTTCTTCAGTAAAGTACTCCATGAATAATCATGTTCAAAGCATTCATACGAACCAGTACCACAGCCTAGTTTCAATTCAATTGATTTATTGTCCACAAATAGGAAATTCTTCTTGCTCGCATTTACATTCATTCAGTACAGATAATACAATCGATACAAAATGAAAAATAACATAGTTTGATTTATTAAACATGAACATTAATTAAGGTAATCAGTACGTCGGGGTTTCTCCATTCTGTAAATTTGTAATGCAGAGTTGAATACTGAAAAAAATACCTGCACCTGGTCATAGTGTATGCTGAAAGGATAATTAATCTACTTGGACCCCCTTCCCTTCACTTTCCTAATATTATACATGGCTAAGATCAGATTAATATTCCACTATTATTGTAAAGGTGAAAATTATAATTAAGGTGTTATTATACAGTTATTGTTATGCGCATTTTCATAGTGGAGGCTATTGCAGAGAGTCTGGTGAGCTAAGTAACAAAACGATACCGATTGTAAATAGGCCTAGTTCACTAAATTGTTGGAAAGGCCTTTCTAAAGCCATTCAACGCGTGCAGTCTGTCGTCTCAAATTCTTTTTTCAACAAATGCCAAAGTACCCCGCTGAAATACCACTCCCACTAGCAACACAATAGTGATTGTGTGTTTTCATAGCTCAGGGTTGTGAGTTTTGTTCACAGTATACTTCCCTAACCCTCGTCCTTGGATACGTGAGCGACCCGTTAGTAACTTTGTGCCATCATTGACACGCACACATGACAAGTAGCCTTAGAAGGGAACATTGTAACTCGACGTACATTGCAGTATTGAATTGTTTCCTTGAACTCCGGATTTTGTTTCCTGTTACTGTAGTGTTTTCATGTCCTCCCTGACGTCCTGACACGAACTCTTAATAATTGGAGCCTTAAGGCCAGTCTTTTCTTTTCCTATTGGTGACCACCAAACTGACCCGCAGATGTACCAAGGAATCGATCCAGCTAACAATCGATTCAAGGATTGATCAGGATAGCTTCTAGTGGCTTAATAAACGAATGAGCTTGGACACTAACTCATCACATCCGATTAGTTAGCCTTTATTGCGTTAACCCCAACAGTCCCAAATCCTCCAATTTCAATGCGATTTTACATACTCCCTTTGGGGTTTGGGTTAAAGCAATCTTCTGATACGCCATTAAATCGATCACGTTAACCCTCGATCCATATGTACTTTTAAACTGATTCATCTGATCTTTGACACATTTTTGGGAAATGAAACCATGCAATACTTTTCTTTTTTTTTCAAACTTCCACAGTGAAAATCTGAGTTAAAGTTCATACATTTCATTTTAGAATTTCCATGAAGAACTAATTCTTTTCAAGAGTGTTTAAATCAATGCTAAGTTTTGATGACGTAAATCAAACCTTTGTGTGTGTGTGTGTCTTGGATTAATCTTAACACAAGGATATGAACCGGTGGAAATTAAACCAGGTCCTTTGTGAAATCCCCGTGAACTTGCCCATGGACCATGATGTTTCCTCTATCCGCTGCCATTTGAAGCGGCAGGTCACACGGAAACCAGTGTCAACTGTAAAAACAGAAAAAAATGCGTCCTTGCTCCAAAGAAATGTAGACGTGATCGTAGCCACTTAAACTATAATTGTGGTCGACAATTTTTAAAGGGGGAAGTTATGACACTTGATAGATTTTTGACGGATGGGGGTGTTAGTGAACCCGGCCTGAACCAGCAAGCCTAACATTGTGAAATTGGGGGGGGGAGATGTTTTAGTATCCTGGATAAGGCCCAGTCCCAAAAATGACCCAAAACTGTGCGAGTGCTGAGCCAGAAGCCATCTTTATAGCTGCGATTAGGGATTAAAAAACATTTTGTTGTCTCGCTGTCTTTTCTCGATCAAACAAAAACAGAAATGACTCAAGCCCAAGTTTGAGGGGTTCCCTCATAAGCCACCCGCACTCACCTCACCACTACCCACCTGTTCTCATCATTTCTGAATCATTTCAGAAAATGACCCTCTTACACAACGTCGACTGTGATGGTTTTATTTGTTTGGGAATTCCTGCGTGTGTTTACCCTACTGTGGTCCACGTTACAGCCAGACGGATTAGTATTATGTACACTGAGAAATTTTTCACGGATGATCTAAACGTCTGAAAATACAGTCAAACTTGGGCATAATGAATCATGCTAACCTCGCGAGTTTGGGTGGGTGAGCAGGTGTGTACCACGGAGCACGTCAAGGCAGCATATCAATGGAAACGGTTAGGTTGTCTCTTGTTCAGAAGATGTCATTCCGGAAAAGATATCGCTTCTGTTCTGTTCACTTTGTGGAACACGGTTGATCGTATCCTCATGTGCTCCTTACAGTTCCTTTGAGGAAGCGAACCTAAATAATTCCTGACCCACGCCACTTTGTTCTTTACAGCTTCGTGCGCATGACCCAAACGAATTTTTTTCTCATCTTGTCGTCATCTTTGTATCTTTATCCTAACTCTCGCTAAACGAGAGTTACGTCCCTTCGTCACTCCCTCCCCCGGTCCTACACGCAAAGCCCCACTTATTCCCCTGCTCTTGCTTTCTTAGAATCATGGAAGAAAGAGGGGCATGGAGAAAAAATGCATCCGTGTCAAGGTTTAGGAGTTCATGCAACTTACGACTACTAGCAATAACCAGCTGGTCTGTTTGTAAACCGTTCAAGGACAAGCCTGTTACTCCACGAAGCGTAACAGGACACCATATGAAAACTGTTTTCCTTGGCGCATGCATGCGCTGTGTCCATGATACACAACATCCGATGACCATTGAATGGAAAGTCCATATTGTTTTAATATGTCGCTCATCTTGTTTGACTACCACGGCCTATTGGCCTTAGAGCCCGCTCTGGTATGCCATGCCTGATTCACTGGCCTGATTCCTGCGGCTATGTTGTTCCCGTGATGACTTTGCTGACAAAAATGCGCGGAGCGACCGCCGCGTCAATGGTATGCACATCAAACATCGGCCTACTGAGGAAGACATATCTGTCCCCTGCGGGTCCTATGTACATGTATACGTGTACACTTACATGTTTTCCGCATGTGTGTCATTTTGAGAAGATCAAAGTCGGACTTCCTTTCAAAAGATCGTGCCCAAACGAACCATTTTGATGTTGGGTGTCAATTACAGAATTTCTGTTTATCAAAGCTATTGATCTCAAATGTTAAAAACCGAACACTTTCCGCGACTACAAGGAACTTGGCAATGAAGTTTTCGAAATTAGAAGCAGCAGATAAACTTCTCGATACTCAATTAAGTTGTATTCTTCGCAGAAGTGGTTTGCCGCTTGAATTTGTAACGTCTCAATTCTGTCATCGGTGCAGTTTTAACGCCAAGACGCAGTTGGGGATAATGTTCAGAATGGGGAAATGATTGATACTCCCAAATCGAATTATTGTCGAAAAATGACACCAAAGGGGGATTTATTGGATTTGCATCAGGAAAGATTGGAATTGTTCATTGCAGGAGGGAATTTTTATGCTTCATTTACAGTGATCCATGACGAAGTAGATTGGATGTATTTACTCGGGTGGTCGTTCTGTCAAACAGCTAAAGCCTGCTGTAATTTGTGAGGGTATGAAAGCGATTTGTTTTTGCAGGTCGTTGGTAAAGGCTTTCAATAATGGTCATATTTAGGTACTTGTTGAAAGATGAGACTTTGTTTTTAGGAGAGACAATGCAGTTGAAGAACACAGCTTCCTCGGCACTTTAAAATAATCCAACCAAACCAACTCAAATTGCCAAGGATGTATTGACGCAACAAACCACACCTAACATACAGTCTTACTTCCACATTGCAAACATCCTTAACTTCTATTTATTCTTTGGATAAACACAAAAATTCTTCGTTATGATTTATATGTCTCATCCTTTGATGCTGAGGTTTTTATTTTTCTTCATTTTTTTTCTTGTAGTTGTCTACTGTGACTACACTGCTTCTGGAAGGTAAGCAAGTTTGTCAAATTGCACCATACAATGAAAAATTCTGATTCTGAAATAAACTTCTGTAGAAGTCAGTTTTATTTGTCATTAAATGATAGAAAAAATTATGAATGTGCCGACTTCTTTAAGAAATACTGTTAAAGTATACAGTGGCTGTCAAGTAACCAACATTTCTCCTTTTTCTAACGTCAAAGAGCGATATACAAATCCAGTCTGTATCCTGGGGATATTTGAACTCCCCAAACCAGAAACGTCAAACAAATGTGGTCAAGTTTAGGATATTGTACATTCCTGTGGAGTTTCATGGTTTTTCTGTCTGTCCTGGCGATTACCGCATGCGCTTGTTATTCGTTTTGTTTTTGTGGGCATTTTGGTCATGTAAGTTAGTTACTGAAGTGCACTAGTCTTATTTGTATGTTTGACCCGACCTACCAACATGTACATGGCAACCAATAAATTGTTTGGCCGATACTCAGTAAACTTGATTAATTCATTGACGTATTTTTTACGTTGTAAAGGTGGGTTCATGCAGTGTCAGTTTTATTTTACGTCACATCTGTTTAGTGTTCCAATATGCATTGTAAATAGTTTGGCACATTATCCGATTGAAATCTCTATTATCATCAACAGTGCAGTTGGTTCAAGATTAGCTGAATGCACACAAGACAATGTCTTGAATCAGTTCAATACGACGCCCCCCACATCGGAAACACTCACACCTGCAAGAACACACATGGAGTAACTGATGACACTTGATGATGAATCTGTGGTCCTGGTTTAAAGATTGAAAGAAACTATAGGGAGCGTTTTTACCCTTCTGGATTAACCCCAGGGTATTATTACCTGATAGATAAGAAGCTCAAATCTTTCCAAGAGGCCCATAATCTAACTCTCTGAAAGGTTTTGAAAAGGTACTGTCCCCTTGAAACCAAGCTTTAGGAATTCTTAAATATTGTATTGAAAGTTTTCTCACAAGGTATCAGTCTCGCTCTGCTGGGGTGGGGGTGTGTGTTCAGTCACCCATTGTTGAGCACTGCCTGGTATTTTAGAGCATTAACGGTACCACTTTCTGCTTCCAAAAATTGTACTTCTTTCAACACAAACCTTTTTGGCCATATTTTAAAGAAGCATGAAATTAATATTTTGGAGTGATTCGTGAATGCCTTAGAAATTTAAGAATTGGCTTGAATGGATGGTACATGTATTCTCAAGATTCGCCAACATTTCCTACTCAGCTTCCAAAAATTCCAAGTGGAATTGCAAATATTTGACTGCACGCCGAAGGCTTTCCGGAGGTAACAGCGTGCCCGTGTAACCTGACGAGCTGGGTGGTTTGTTGATTTTACAGACAACATTCTTTTGCATTTAGTGGTTGATTTAGTCCGCAAAGCTCAACAGTGGTCTAATCTTACAATGTCAAATAGGAATAATTCTGCTTTTCAAATTCGTTGAGCGCAACTGCACTGAAATAATCTACTATTGAACAAAACATTAATGATTGCGTTTGTGGGGGGAGTTGATAAGTCATGTGTTCTTTCATCAGTCATAGCAATTTTGTTGTAACCAAATGTTATAGAAATCTTTTCCTACCTCGATCTCTGTTTGTTTATTTGTTTGTTTGAAGAGAGCAGGATAATTATTCGGATGTTTCCTTGTTGAAAATGTTAGTTTCGTTCAGCTCGGCAATTGTATCTGTGAGGCGTCAGGAGCCCATTTTAACTCCCCTCCCACCCAAATCGCAAATGTTCAACAAACAAGCGCCTTTGAATCTCGAGTCAGAGCTAAAACTAGTAATGCGCTCTTGGAGCCGTTCACGCGAGTTAAGCAAGGATTTTGATCAACTAAGTTGCACTTTGATATTTCAACCCCAACTTTTTCTGGTTTTTCATCACCCTTGTGTGTGACTTTGAGAAATGACAGCGTTGAATAAATTTCCGTCTTTGGTCTCTGCGCAGGGCGGGTGTGCTATCTCACGATGTCATATTAATTTTACGATCCATAGAGTTTACGCATGTACAGGTTACACGGTGAATTACACCCAAATAGGAACTATGTGGGGTTGAACCACTGTGGGATTTGGTCCACGAACGGCTGACCCATGCTTCCACCGCGTGCCTTAGGGAGAAGTCAGTTGACATGAACTTTGAACCTAGAAAGTCTTGGCGTTCAAGTCCACCTGGTACCACGAAGCTCCATCCCAAAATGCAAGCTGTGCTGTGGTTCCCTGCTGTTTGGTCTCAGCAACTGCCAGTTGGACAATCCACAGGATCACTCGTTTTCAAGCGTCATTATAACTTATTTCAAGAGAATTTCGCACGCTTTCGCGGTTTTTAAGTTGACTGATCTACGACAGAGTCTTCTGAAATAAGTGATGAGTTTCCAAGTCATAAAAGTAATATTTGAACAGAAATAGTAGGTCAACAAGGTTATATAATGGACTTGTCCCGATCTCGCGACTAAGTGTTTGAGTTGTTGAGGCTCTAACCACCGTACTCCTTCAGAATTTTAGTTTAGATAAACCGAAGGTGTTGTTGACCGTTTGTTAAAAAAGGTTGAATGAATAAATGAAATACAAGAATGTTTCCTATGGCGTCAGATTTCTGTTTGTGTGGTTGTTAGAATCGAATCGATAGTCTTGTTAAGGCGTAACTGGGTCTTAAACAATAGATTCATGGGAAAATTGCCCGTAGGCCTACATGCACTTAGCATTGCCTAATTTATTCTTTACGTTTGAATCTAGTCTTTGTAAAACTAAAAGTCAAGGTGCGTGTGTTAATTTCTACAACCCTGTATTAGATATTTCCTGTACCTTTTCCTCTAGACCACTGAAGTTTATTGAAGACTACATCACTAACCATGTACATCCCTTGTACGCCAACACGCACACCACGACTGGACTTATGGCGCGACAGACTACCCAGTTCCGTAAAGAGTCCAGGTAATACAACGAGCATTATGGAACCCACAAACCGACCTCATCCATGCTTGGCAACGTAAAAGCACTCGTTTCAACGCAACAACATCAACAAAACTTAGTCAACACAGCAACGACGCAAAGATTAGGCCTTGAATACAGCAAAAACTTCATCAAAACACAAACATCAACAGCATCAACAAAATATTCTGTCAACCCAAACAACATCCGGAAAACATGGAAATCAACTCTGCAGTAACCTTTTATCTTTGCATTTTATCACTAGCATTATGATTGCATGCAACGAAACAACACATCTAACGAATTGTTTTTAACTCTCCAGGGAAATTATCAAACGATGTGTGAATGCGACGGATGAAGATGTCGTCATCTTCACGGGGAGTGGAACTACCGGAGCTGTGCACAAGCTTGTTACAGCACTTGAACTAAAGGGGGATCGGGCCAAGAAAACGGTAAATTGGACTCACGACGGATTCAGAATAGGCCATGGTTGATAGATTTCATGTCGCGAAATCTTCATTGAGGAAAAGCATGTTGCTTAAATGTGATTCCTGTCAATGTGACTGATAGTGGGTTGTTGAACGTCCAGACAATTTTCATTCTTCACATTCTTCACTTACTGCCCGCAAAACTTTCTGCTTCATGAGCTGGCGTCTTTAGCAGAAATAGATTTGTTTTCTGTATGTGCTCGAGACTTTAGAGAGACATCTTACGGGAGTGATGGGTCATTTGCGATGTGTGGGAGTACGATGAGTTTGCTAACTTTCCAAAATGTATTCTTTGACCTCCTAAATCAACTTGTCTCAAAACGATATCTACAGCAAAGGATCACGAGACTAATATTTTATTTTCTGTTTCTAGGTTGTGTTTGTAGGACCTTATGAGCATCATTCCAACATCTTACCATGGAAGGAGACGGGTGCAAAAGTATGTTTACTGGAAGAATTCAGAAAAGTCAAATTATCAAAAACAGTTACATACGTTCAAACATTAACGTGTTCAACATTTGAATTAGCGTGAATATCTGTTTACTTGAATTTCTGTAGGTCGTCCGTATCAGGGATGCAGATCGAGGGCAGATAGACATGAAACTTTTGGAGCAGAAACTGAAGGTAAAAATGTCAAATCTCTAAAATAAATTCTCTATTTTCGAATAATAAAAATATCTTATTTCGGTTTGTGGATCGTGGATTACGTTGCCATTTCTATGTCAAATTAACTGAAGCGGTCACTGTGGCTGTTGTAAGAAATCTGTTGGTCATCGCTAGACGTCAGTGAGTGCTCCTTCAACTGTTATGCTTAAGACATGATTGTGATTGGCTGATTCGTTATTCAACAGTACTATCAGCACAAGTCGAGATTTCTGATTGGCTGCTTCTCCGCTGCATCAAATGTCACTGGAATTGTAACAGACACGTTAGCTGTGGCAAGCTTACTTCATCAGTATGGAGCGCTATCCTTCTGGGACTATGCAACAGCAGGTGAGAAGGAATTTGCTGCCCAAGACTTGGTGTTTGTAAACATTCGGGACAAGTCAAGTTCCGATAAACACAGATCAACACATCTGGTGAAACAATCATTTTACCCATTAGGACATCGTTATGATATGATCCCTAGACTGTTTGGGCCTGATCGCCGTCAGAGGTGAGGGACCACTTAATCTTTTTCTCAGAGCAAGTACTTCATAATTTGTGCTCCCTCCGCCAACATGCAAATAGTTGAGGTAAATTGTATGCACTTTCGTGGCTTTTTTTGGTCACACGCTTTCAAAGTCTTTTATACTTTGATTTTTATCATCCGCAGACTCTCCCTGAATATTGAAGAAATTTCCACTTTTCTTAATCTGCAGGACCGTACCTTAATATCGATATGAATCCTGTAATTGAAGTTGAAGATGATGACGAGAACGAAGAGTATGTTTCCTTCAATGAACAAAATTCTGAGAAATCCTGAAAGCCGTAATTAAAGATTGCCTTTGAAATGATTAGCTCAATTAAATTCTGTTAAGATAGAGTTTGTCACAAGGAATGCAAAGGCGTCCATTTTAAATTAAAGCTATTTTAATGGGATCTGTGCATCAGATAATTATTCCGTAAAATTGCTAAGGTTTCTAAAAAATAATTGAAAATTCTGAAAACAAAAACCTCTATCCTCTACGGAATACTTCACTTTCATGAAATCCATTGAAGAATCATTGCTATATCATATATTTCTATTTCTTTATTCTCTCACTGACAATACTGTCAAAATCAAATACAGTGTGAAAAATTCATTAGGTTTAAGCATTTTAATTTCTTTCTGATTGTTTGTGTCCAAGAATGGAGTCTCTAGACTTCAGCAAAGACGCTGTCTATCTGTCTCCTCATAAGTTCGTCGGCGGAGTGGGAACACCAGGTAAATGTGGCCTTTTATCAAAGCTTTCGTTATCTAAACAAGCTAGAGGTCTTGGCAGTACACTTCATTATTGTCTGTAGTCTCTAGGTACACGCCAAATATAGCTTTGAAAGTGTCAAATGGTTACGGATCACTAGAGAAAACACCGAGTTAACGGTGTATTATTACGGCCAATCTGTCTGCACGATGAGAGCTAATTGGCTGCAAACTGATGTAGACGCATGGAGACTTGCCAACTTGAAAAAAAGACTAACTAGGGTTGGTCAGGCCAACTCCCTGCACTGACGAGTGTTTGGTCATGATTGTAAATCATATGATGTCATGCAGTTCTGTCATCACACTACTTGACACAAGGGACATTGATGAATATAGTCATGCTGTGGACTGGACGCCGAAACTGGGCGTCAGAAACCAGACCCAAAGAGATCGTCTGTGGAATCAATTGTTCAGAAAGGTCGACAGATGACAATCGTGAAATTTGAGATAGTTATCAATTAATAATAAACCCTGGGTTATCATGAGTTTGTTACCCTATCAGAAGACATCAAGTTGCAAAACGATCAATCAAATTCTCAAAGTTCTCCTGAACTTTGGCGGTTGTATCGGAATGCCTTTGGATGCCGTTTTAAAACTTTGATTGCCAAGTAGATACCGTATATCATGGGGTTTATTCACGCGATAATGGACATTTTATTGAGAAGTGCGGCATTTTGGTATTGGGTTCTTGAAATAAATGGAAGTCTTGCACTCTTTGGGAAGAATTCTTTCAAGCCGTGGGATCCAGCTGTAAGATTTTTTATGAACAGCAAGTTGATTACATTTTGCCGGAAGACCTCAAAATGGCTGTATAATTGTCGATTCGGTAATAAAGATTTTTTTGTCTTTCAGATATCTAATACGTCGTGTTCAAGGGAACAGAATGGTGATAGTGAAAATATGCCATAAAACAATTGCGGTATACGTGTGAAAAACTGGGGGCAGAACGACGAGCGTGTTTGGAAATAACTTCCGAATTACTGAGGACTCATTCTCCTAGCCTCATTCGATTGTGCTTGGGGAAAGTTGGGATATCATTGCATCCTTAATTTTAGTATTTATTCATTTTGCTGTTGTTTTCAGGGCTTCTGATAGCAAAGAAGAAACTTTTCATGAATGCAGTTCCTGGGTCAGTCGGAGGTGGCACTGTGCTTTATGTAAGATACATCTATCTGTCATTCACATCGGTTTATCCTTAAATTTTTCTTGTTTTCCACATTTTCAACCAGTATCCTCAATAACTCTCCATCTTTGGGGTTGGGATCCAGGTAACAAGAGACACTCATCGCTACCTTTCTAATATTGAAGAGCGGGAAGAAGGTGGAACGCCAGCTATTGTAGAATCTATCCGCGCTGGTCTAGTCTTCAGACTTAAAGAGGTAAACATATTTTTCTGTACAGATTTACTTACTGTCGAGAACTTTGAAAGTGCTCAGAGCCACACACTTAAAGTCAAACCAAAGGAGATTTCATTTTATCTCACTGACTCTTTTACTTGTATCTTCCCTATTAATACAGGCAATTACCCCTGCTCTCATTGAAGAACGTGAACACGACCTCTCTCTGTAAGTATGGTGTCCCATGGAGGACTATGATTCAATTGAACTTTGATCGAAACTTCCATTCAAGGAATTATTGTTGAGTTTTTCTGTCAGGTTTGCATATCTAAATTCATAGTGTGTCTGAGTTCAGGAAGATATGGAACCAATGCTTTTATTTCTGAAAAGGGAACTTCATCACTACATAGTTTCTACGGTTTAACGCCAATAGAACAATGTTGTAACTGGCATAGGCCTACTTCTGCACCCATTAAGCCTACGTTTTCTCACCAAAGCAATTCTTTGTTTTTCACATCTAGACTTGCCTTCAAGACGTGGCGACGGAATTCTAACCTGATCTTCCTGGGCAGCAAACGAGCTGAGCGTCTACCTATCTTCTCCTTTCTCATCGTCCATGCTCCCAGTGGTAAAGTTTTACATCATAACTACGTGGCCGCCTTGCTAAATGATCTGTACGGCATCCAGGCACGAGGAGGCTGCGCCTGCGCAGGACCATATGCGCAAGATCTGCTTGGAATCGATGAACCCATGGCGGAGCAGTTTGCTGATTTTCTTGTCGATACCACAAGGTATGATTGGAGAACATGTCAGGTGTTGGAAAACAGCATACTTCAGACTTCACTGAGGACTGCGGGTGTAGACCGCCTCTCAATGTCTCCACCAACACTTTATCCTATCCGAATTTCAAAGTCTTTTTCTAAAGATTGTCACCTGTTCCCTTTTTAGTATTTTTCTACGTTTCATTTTTGACATTCTAATTCCATAAAATAATTTACATGTACCCCGCATGTAATTAGGTTTGTTTTTACTTTTTAGAGATGAAGAGCTGGCCAATAAAGGAAAGAAAAAGAAAAATGGGAAGATGGCCCCTAAGCACAAAGCTTTGGAGATAATGAAGTAAGTTATAGTCGCCACCAACTTTAGCATTTCAATACCACAATTGATCTCCTACCCCATCATTTTATCCCTGTTTCCAATTTTAGATGATTTAATCATTTTATTTGATTGTTGATTGGATTCAGTTTAGTTTGTTGTTGTTGCTTGATAGGCCTGGCTTCACGCGGCTGAATCTGCCTTTCTTCTTCTCACCGGATGTTACTAACTTTGTTTTGCAAGCTGTGGATGACGTCGCCACCAACGGCTGGAAACTGCTACCACAGGTAACAACTTTCCCGCCTCCCATCCAACCACCAAGGGCGCTGGTCGCTGATCAGTTTGATTCAATCCCAGATCACAGATCTTGAAAAGATTAAGTTTCTTTTCAGACGGTTGTTTTTGATCTCATATTTTTTCTTTCTCTCTAATAGTACGATTTTGACATGTACACTGGCAACTGGATCTATCGGAATCCAAAGAGCGAGTCAGAGGATTCACCCCAAGGGTCCACAGCATCGCTTGGAGACAGTCTGCTTACCACCACCTTCGTCAAGGGGAAGTTTAAAGCTCCACCCAGCCCCTTCGTGTCCAGGAAGAAATATGTCCAAACGACAAAATTTCAAGTAAGACTTCCATTTTCACCTTCTGTTCGACTGTTTTTGCTGATCATGTTTTTTTTGTGTGTCAAACCGATGACGGAAATCTTGATATTGTTGATTTTGTTTTGAATGTATGCATATTCGGAACAATAAGAAGAAAACTCATTCTTTTAAAACAAAGCTTACGTGCAACTCACGAGGTAGATTTAATTTCACAGTTCAGTTTTTTGCGCAGTCAAGTTTTGCAGTGTTGGCATTTAAAGTTTGTGCTTCCCCACTGCGAGATCGACAGTGAAAAGCATACACGCATAGCGCCCTCTACTCGTCATAGCAGATATTGACGGTTCATTTTCTAGTTTATTTCCTCCCTTCTTTCAGTGACTCGTTTTTTTCTTCTTCCAGGAAATGCTACAGATTGCCAGTGTATTTTACAGCGAGGCTGAAGCAAAGTGTAATGAGGTAAGAAAATGTTACAAGAATTTAAAAAAATGCAAATCTGTTCTTGTCAGATGGCCCAGTTATTTCTCCAAAATAAGGTCATTATGTTTTGTTGCGAGAAAATATGCGATGTACACAGCGCGTAAGAGTGCTTTTTTGTCAGATTTGTGCATGCAGTCAAGCTATTTATTTATCAGTACTGCTTTTCACGTAGGTTCCTGATTTGAATCAGGATGATGAATTTATCAATGGGGTTGGTGACCCCAACATGGTCTGGTTTTTGCAACCTCATGAGGCACTAGCGCACCTACGGGATCCCAACCTTGATCAGACAGACTCCGGTTCGGCAGCACCACTGAGGTTAAAGGTCAAGAACGTTCCGTTCAAGCCTAGACAGTCGACCGCTCGAGGTTCTCGGTTCTCTCGTCGAAGCCGCAAGTCTCACAAAAACCAGGCCAAGGAGACAGGGAAACAGACCATGAAGATGTGTACCGTACTGTAGATAGTCTTGGAAGTATAGTAGCCTATCTGTAACGCTGATGCAATCTTGCTGCGTCAAGTTGTGTCCAAGATAACTTCGATGATCGACAATTTGGCCCCAGATAAAAGTTGACAATGCATTATACTGAACGTGACTCACCTTTAGAAAGTGGCAAAACATCACACTCTCACCAAACTAGGTTTGGGTGACGGTGGTTTGGATGACGATGAAGCCACACAGGTTATCGGATTTGGAGTTTGAACTTACCATGAATGGATGCAAGTGGAGTTAAAATTGGTTTAAAGCAGATCAACTGATTGAAGTACCCGTAACCCCCTAATTGTAAGATAGTAAGGTGTAATATTTTGCATATCAGAATGGTCACTGTAATTTTATATTGTAGGCCTAACTTCAGTTTCAGATATTAGATCCAAACAAAAGCGAGGTATAAGAGAATCGAGGTATTCTTTTCAACGATTTATGCGCTTAAACACTTGCTGACAGACATTCATATTACATGTATGTCATGCAACAATTTAGTTTAAGGCATTATCCTAACGCACGCTATCATTAGCTCCATAATTTCAGTATACCTTTTCACTCCGCCTGGGAGGTTGGGAATAATGACAAACCAATATATCTTTACAATAACTTTTAATTATATTAATGCATCGTATATCTTTAGATATCACGGATTAGTATTTTATAAAGTGGAACGTCAGAGCTGTCGAATTAACTTTATTGGTAACTTGTTAAGAATTATTTTGCCAAGCGCTATTTGTCAAAAAGTCAGTGAGGTGTGTTTAAATTTTCATACCAAAAGGCGTCTTTTTGTATAATGAAAGCTCTTTAAGATGGTGTCATACTACGTCTATAATTTAATGGGCAACGGTTAACGATATGCTTCAATACTTTAAAATATTTAAATTGTCATATGAAAGAATTAATGCCTTGGGATTAATTTTACGATAAGTGACCTAAGTTGAACTGCAGACAGTGAACCCCGCTTTTCCTTTTGAAAGCAATCATTTTTTGTTGGATAAGTTAGATTGTTTAAAGTTATACCCAGTACCTGCATTTCGTACGAGTTTTCTACAAAATAAATAGTAAAAATAATATAGTAAAACGAAATAAAGAGTAAAATGAAATGTTTAATTTGACATAAAACTCGCACTTGTGCATAGAAAGTACTGGCCGGTTTGGTTCAAAATTCTATATAGGCCTATTCCCTCTGCAGCTATGTCAAAATAACATAAATTCGCGCAGTTAAAGGTTACACTGACATTTTTCCGATATCACCGCAATGCATTTTTCTGGCGTTGAATCTGTAGGAGTTTTTAGAGTTACTTTTTTCGGTCATTTTGACATAAAGTTTGCGCAAATTGAACATGGCGTTCTTGCGCAGCGCGCATTTTTCAGAGACGGATTAGTCAAAAATGCGTACTTTTTCCACTGCGGTGCTCAAATGACCGCAACAACAAAACTAAGAGACTGATCGAGTTAAAAATTCACATTTGTAATCAGGAGTGTCTGTACATGCTTGGCAAGTTTCAAAAAATCGAGCGAAGCACAGCCAAGTTCTTTGGCCTCCCCGGTAGTGAGATGGACCAAAATAACCCGGCTCTTTCCGGGTTAAATTCAGTCAGACTTACTGGTTTTATTTAAGTTTGGATTAGAAAAGTAAAGATTTGCATATTTTGAATTCTGAAATATTTGAACCACCTTACTTCAAACTTCTAATAATAATATTTACCACCCTTAAACAACCAAGGATATCTATGTACTCGTATTAAGGCAAAATTTCTCGAACGTTTTTTCTCAAAATGGATCAAATGATAGTGAACCTACAAGTAGGTCTGACAGCTATAAAGATGCACACTGGTCAAAAACACAACTCTATTGCGCAAGTCCCGGAGCACAGACCAAATGGATCGAAGCTTCTGTTTGAATCCAAATTTTATATGGGTAATTCCAGAAATTAGAGGTCTATTTTTCTTTGTGTCCCTGTCACGTCTGACATTTGATCTTGTAAGGTCAGAACACAATTTTCTAATTTCGAAGAGTGTTGAATTAGGGCAACTCACCTGCCAAACAAATAGTAATAGTTTGAAATCAATTCCGGTGATATTTTCATGTCAAATAACAAAGATCAGATGTAACAGGGACACAAAAATGTTACACTTTGGACTCCTAATTTCTGGAATTACCCATATGACACCGACATTAACCGACGTTAAGTTCATTCCTTTGGACTGGGTGTCTGGTCATTTTCGATGATGTCATCGCCTCTGACCTCACCTCCGTCGTCATCATTGACGTTTTGATCATCATCAATCGCAGTGGTGACGTCACTCTTTTCTGCTTTGGTTCCCTCGTCTTGAGACAGTAGCGGAGTATCTTCGATATCTTCCGGGTCATCCTCCTCATCGTTGACGTAGTTGAGGTCTTCGTCTTCCTTTTTGTCGTCTGTGTCGCTCTCCATGTACTGGATGAAAGCGAAAATCAAGATGACGACGACATACGTCACTCCGATTGACCTGAAGGTTACTGTTGAACCTGCAAAGAGGGAAAGACGAGTAACTGTAGCACTGGCCTAGAAACACCACCCATCACTGGGCATTGTGTTCGTCTAAGCAATTCTTACCATGCTTTAATCAGTACCCCGACCATGCTTTATTTCGACAGCACATACAAATATGCTTTAGACTGTAATCACAGATTATAGAATAGAGAAAACTTCATTTTCTGCAGAGAATGGCTAGGGCCCTATATAAATATGGAGCGCTGCTTCAGGGACAATTACTACCACCAAATTGTGGCCGCCGCCGCATAGGTTAAAGTTTTTCCCAGCTCCCAGATGGAGAAAGTTGGGAGTCAATGTTAAGGTCATTCCAGCTCTTCATTTGCGTTAAGATGTACCCTGCTGCCGCGTACAAAGATTCTGACTTCAAGAATGTTCCACGGGAAATACCATTAATTGCAGTCATGGCACCATACTCACCTGCGCATTCTTAAACTAGAGCGCGCGCGCGCGCATTGACAAATCACAGCATCCTATTGGTCAAAGAGGAATGTTACACCTGCATAACACCTGCATGATCAACTGTCAAGTGACCGTGCAACTACAAACAAAATGTGTTTGATATTCAGTGGCTAGTAGCACGTACCGTACGCACTGATGATCACGCCGCCGAATATAGCGCCACAGCCCCGGCCCAATCCATGGTAGACACCTTGCAGAATTCCCTGGGCAGAAGACCGGTTTTTCTGGGAAGTTGCAGACCCGATGAAGGACGTACTTGCTGCCCATACCAAGGCATGAGTGACTCCTAATAAGTGGGAGGAATAAATGATACCATCTCAGACAAAGAACTGGCAGAGAGGTACGTAAACAAGAATTACGAAAGACTCGAGTTTGCAAATTAAATACTCTCTATTACCTATTATTGCTGATAAAAAGTTGCAATCACTCATTATAACATCAGTGCTCTGCCCGTGGAATAACAACTACTTTTCCCGGAATGTAATATTCGGAAAGTTTCTGAAATCGATTGTACATGTATACGTGGCAGAATCACAAGATCTTAAACACAACTGTCAGAAGAGAATATGCAGTGAAGTATGATAAAAATTACCTTGAAGCGTCTCGACAGCCAGAACCCCCCAAGGGTTGACGAGATAGGAGACCGTGATGAACCTTACAGCAAAGCAAGATAAACCCAGGCAAAGTACGGGGATGTGTCCCAGCTTCCGTATAAACCAACCACTGAAGAAATATCCGGTCACTTCCGAGAGGTGATTGATGATAGATGCTACCCCAAAGAGTGTTGGTGGCCCCCCAAGGTCCTTGAGATGCCAGTAGAGAAAGGTGAAGAGAAACCCAAATCCGAATCCTGCAAACCACACTACGTATAGTACGGTACCATATCGGACGCTGGCATACAAGCTAAGAACCTCCCAGTATCTGGGTTCATCTTCATCCTGGTTATGATCTCCTCCAGAGCTCATCTCATCCGAGCTTCTCTGAAACTTTCCGACTGTCTTCTTGACGTTTTCTAGCTCGATGACTTCTGAGGCGCCTTTACCATGCACATGTTGAAGCTTGTCTGTTGTGTATTTGGATTGCCCGACCGTTATGACTTCGTGCAATGACCTATACTTGTATTGAAATTGAGTGGCCACAAAGAAGGCGCATGTTATCATGACCGCATAGGTGCCAAAGCAAATCAAATAATTCACTTCTTCCATTGTAACTTGTCCATCACATTCTACTTTGGTCGTCTTCGTTCGGTCCAAGATGAATCCCTCAACAAACATGAAAATTCCCCAGGCCAGCGAGCCGAACATTCGCTGACGGCCGTACATTTCCATGCGCTGGTGGCCCAGATAACCCAGCGTTGCAGAATCTGCCAAAGTAATTGTGGGTGAGCTGAAGAACTCGCCAAGAATCATCAGAAGCAAGAGACAAATAAATGTTAGCCTCCTATCCTCAGCCGTGTACTTTATAACTGTTACACTTCTCTGTTCTTTGGATGCCTTATTTACTGTTGTTGTGTTCGAAATGGTGACCTCTGTGTTGGGTTTTGGTACGACAATGATCTTGGAGGCAGTGTCATTGGCATCTCGTCTAACCTGTTCTTCATTTCCATCGCCTGGTACTGCTGCCTTCCCACCGTGATCGACGTTAATTTTGGTTATTTCCACATTTGAAATGCTCCCTTCTTTTCCAGTGCTTTTTGAATCTCCTATCACGACGAGGGTTGCATTCCTGTGCACGGTTGAGTTAATAACTACACACGTACTTGGAGCGGGTTGAACGAAAGCTACGGCCTCAGTGAAAACGAGCCAAGAGAGCAATGAGAACAACAAAATAGCTTTGGCCTTACGCCATGTATCAGCAACAGCGCCCCACATCGGCGCAGCGCAGAACTCCACAAAAGGTCTTATACCGACCAAGACACCACTCTGCGATGGACTCAGGCCCAGTTGCTTGAAGTAGACAGCAATGAGTGGGTATAGACTACCGTATGAACCATAGAAAGTGAAGTAGAATATCTTACAGAGTAGAAGGTCTGGATTGAGTCTGCCTGAACAATACCCCTTGTAGCGCCGGCTTGACGATGTCTGCGACGAGGTGTCGCTGTCATCCTCATTTGTCGTTGTCCTAATCACGTCCTTTCGTTCAATGACGAGCGTGTCGTCGTCGGGATAATACATATTGAGGTCTTTTGATCTATAGCCTACCAGAAATCGATAAACTTGCACAACCTTCGATTGTGAACTTCAGATCAAAAAATCCAATCCAAAGTAGAATCTGGAAAATAAAAACGATAATGTTAACTTGGAATTTGTTGGCTGAATTAGATTAATTTACATATGAATAACTTGGATACAGTGCGTATCAGCCGCCTTGATATGAACGCATTGTGGCTTAGTTTGTCCGATTTAGCTCTGTGATTTTTTCTAAAAGCACCTCAGTAGGCCTACAGGCCTCGATATCTGTTCTTCAACGTCTCAGCTACACGATGTTAATTTTTGCTGAATCACAGTGTAATAACCACTAAAACAATGCGTCTTCCTTGAGTAAATCCCAGGTTTACTCCTGATCTCCAAGTTGAAGGCGATGTTCATTACCCGTTTCTACGGCCGAGTTTTACTCTTACAGGGAATATAAATATCATGAACATGTGTGAAATGCTTCGTACAGAGACAAAACAGACACATTAGATTCATAGTAAAATAAAATAAATTTTAAAAAATAATGGAACCCTTGGTTTGATGCGGAATATAAGCCACAGGGAAGACTTTTTCCATTTTACTGACATACGGCTATGCATTGAGTAAACTCTTTCTTATATTTTGCATAATTTCAATTTGCCTTTTATTTTCACATAATCATCACTTCAGTAGCTGGTCTTTTGCCCTTCTTTGAAAAAAAAAAACACCCTTAACCGTAACAGTCCTCAATCCTCCAACAGGTGAAGGATTGAGGACTGTTAGGTATGACAGAACGTTCCATGTCACTTATGAGGGATAAAGTGTAAAACCTTTGTAACCTTGTGAATTTTCCCAACAGGATAACTCACTTTCTCTTTTTTCCCTAAGGATTCTAGCCAAAAAGATATTGGTCAAAATACATTTTCAACAGCTTACAAATCATGCAAATCCTTATGTACAGGACATGTACAGTAATATTCACCCCTGAGAACAGTCTTCAACTCTCCAATTTAAGTAGGGACTAGGTCGTTGTAGGGTTGATAAAGAGGGTTTTAAGGACAAGGGAATTGACGCTGGTTTAAAAGACATTAATCTGGCAGCCTATTTTTTCTTTCATTTCTCCTTTTCTCTTTCATGTAACACAAACACTGTTAACATTTTCATCCAGGTGGCCTGCCATTCGGTCTTTAGGATTCATTATATTCATAATTTTTCACTTTTTTTGAAGCTGATTGTGATGGTATCAATTTTGCTCGCGGACTTTGCCTTGCCTTTATTGATTTTACAAGCATCTTATCAAGTTGTTTCATGGGATCCTAGAACAAATGTAAGTCTAAACTACTGTAAACTGCTTGCTGACTACAATGACCTGAAATACAAATCCCAAAATATGGAGGGCCTGACGTTTCGATCCTAGCAGAAAACTGACGATCAAAACATCAGGCACTCCATAATGTGTGATTTTTCCTGAGATCCTACTTAGAAAACTCTGGTTGCTGTTGCAAAAATTTGTTGCGTTGTCCTATTTACGTGAAAATTCAATTTTAAACTGCTTCTTATACATGGGTGTGCCATTCTTCTCTTCTGTCCTACAAACCTTAGTATGTACGGGCATAGCAAAGGTATCAGCGGCGTGGCTAACGGGGAGGGGGGTGCACACACACACACCCGGTTGCACTCCCCCCACTTGCATATTATGATCACGATTATGTACATTATGTCCAACATCCAGTCAACCCCTCCACAAACACACACGTAAGTGTGTATTTGCCCCCCCCTATTGTTCCTCTTTTGTTTGTACCCTAACTTTTTTAGAAGACCACCCGTATGTTTTGTACACAGTTGTCAATCGGGGACCCTCTGTCAATCAGGGACCTTAATGTCCTCTATTGTTCTGGGTCCCCAATTGAATGCAGAAACAAACTCACACACACCCACTTTAGCGTGAAGCCCCCGCCCCCTCCCGTGCTCAGTATCCTGGCTATGCCGCTGGAAGGCATTGGAGCAACAAGACACGCAAACAAAACAGGTAATAAAACATTAAAAAATTAATGTAGTTCAATAAATTACAGTTGCATGTTAGCTTCAAGACAGACGTAACCAGGAAATAGAGTACATACTGTGTACCAGGATCGAAGTTTGCCTTGCCTTGTAGACCAAGGGCTGCAGTTGCATTAGGTTATAAAGAATAATAAAATCTGCATGTATGGTCGCTTTCACTGCAAAGATGGCGCTATAGAAAGGGAAACAAACTCCTTGAAAATTTCAACTCATTTGGTTTATATCATCGCCGCGTCAGCTGCCTAGAAATGAAAACTGCTTTGCACACAATGGCCGGAAGACCATGAACTGTAATACATTTAAACAATCTCGCAACTTATCCCATGATTATCCTACCTGTATCAGCGATCAGACGGCACGTCAGTATTTTCAATCAGCCCGTTATTCGTAAAGTATACCTACTGCACATTGCATAACCTTTCCACCTTTTTATATCCACTTTAGCCAACTTACCTTCACTTCAGTTTCTATCATGGCCACTTCTTTACATCTGAATGCCACATTTTCCAGTTCCATTCCCTAACGAATTCCGTCTTGTTAGTAGTGATGCTGGCCATTATACACACCGACTTGTGTAGCACAACTCATGCAAATGCCCATCTCCACCCTTGCGTGACCGACTATGCCTCGTCAAAAGGTGTATTTTTATTCAAAATGCCTGAGCACACCTTTTAAATGCTAAATGTGGGTGTATACCTTGAATCACAATCGTTCGATCTTTCTGTCTGCAACGAACGTGTTTCACATAGATTTTGACCCGTCGACTCAACAGTGGATCGAGAAATATCGTGGTGGCGCATAACAAGCGAGCAGGATGGATGAACGACCATAAGCGTATTTTATAGCTTTTCATATCATGAAAAAACTGAGTGCATTTTCACAAACCAGTATATTTTGTATAAGAACAAAGATAAGATTTCCATAATCTTTAGTAAGTAGAGGATACAGTTCGGTGCTGGTAGGCAAATAAACATAAAAGTTTATTCCAATTTAATGATTACAACAATATGAAGTTCAACAACTAAATAAACAAAACAACGTTCAAGCAAACCCAAGGTTCCAATAAAAGTTAGACAATAGCCCAGATGCTTCATTTTTTCATTTTTTAATAATGCCTTCAAAATACACTTGTTTGACTAGATCAAGGATTTTTTAAATGTTGTTCGCGTGAATTTTTGTGGCAACGCAGTCGATATAACTATTCATAAACCTTGGCAATAATCAATAACACAGCATTTTCGTATCGACATCTCCAACACAAAATTTAAACCTGTTCCCCTGATATTTTCCCAATACAAAGGTACAGTGGACTCCGTATGCGTACTATACAGTGCTAACTACTAAGTCTGTGTAGCATTGAGTAACCTCCAGCCGATTATAACCAAATCAAACATACCGGTGGAACTCGGCACGGGAATTCTTTCAGCCTCTGTGTCCGTTTCTGTCCGGTTTTGCTATGATACTGTGTTCTTCAAACCAATGCTCCTATCCTTTCTTGACTAAGTCCCCCAAATCAAACCACGAGCGCCCATTGCCAGACACGCAGTAAGTTCCCTCTCGACCACGTAATACGTCCACCTGTTGTCAGGGCAGTGCACTTGCTGCATGAGATCATGAAGTGCGTTGTTATAATGGGGCCCACTTGAACTTTACCACCGCCAGCTACCATACCCAACCTTATGCTGATTCTCACGCATGACTTTTTACAGGAGCGTCTGCGTATCTGTTGCCTGCGTAGTATTACGCCTATTAGCCATGCGTGTCATGCATAGACAATTATTCCAAAGTTTAATGTATTCAACCGAAAGCTATTTGTCCAATGATGCATATGCTTTCTTCCCCACAATAAATGTTTTTGCCAGGGGCATGCAACCCAATCAACGGGAAACTTTACAATACGGTGAACAAGAATAACCTTTGTTACTCTCTAGATTATTTGTAGTTTAAGTTTAGGATGGGCTGCTAGACGATGATTTATGAAAGGCAAGTTTTGAACCAGTTTTGTAATACTCAGACGTTTTTCTCACTATTTACTTTACTTATAAGTATCTGCGGGCATTGAACATCTTTTTTATTATAAGCGTGCTGTAATCGCTCGGTCTACTTGCAAAGAAAATCTCTGCGTGCAGAATACGTATTTTTATCAGTAGAGGGCGTAATAATTGTAGACTGACAGCTGACTGGTTATAACATAGGTCAGTCTCCCTTCGTATCAAGAATGCCAGCATATGACCATCTACTGCAAAAATAAAATTAACTTAATGCCAGCATTCCGATCCCCTTCTATTTTTAGATGCAGTGGTCGCATGTCCGTTAATTTTTACAACACATTATAATCAACGTTGTGCAAAAGTGAAGATCAACGTGCCAAAAAATAAAAACTGTTTAGGGACTACTTTTGATTTGTGATTCATGTTAGCGAATCTGGAAAAAGGAGCAATTCATGAACGCCCATTATTAGTGGATATTGACGACACTATCCGAAAGTCAACGGAATGGGTTCGGACAGTATTTGCTGGTTTGGACAATTTCGGAAATGGGAGGTATTCCGTTTCAGTGTTGCCTGACAGTGGCAGCTTACAGGCTTGGCTTGGCTTAGCTTGGCTTCGTCACATCTTGTCGAAGCTTCCCGTTTAGAAACAAACATACTATTAAACATAAATGAAATAAAGTCTACGTTTTAATAATTTCCTCCCTCCCATTGGGACACCTGTAGAAGGAGGTGGGCCACCCTGTAGAAAGGCGGAGTGGGTCGACAGTAAACGGAGGTGAGCGGGGCCACGTGCGCTACCGCCCACAAAATCCCTGACATGCAGTGTTCTTGAGCCAGTAGCGAAATCCTTACTGTAAATCTAGAACTGAAATTACAACATTACCAGCGCATGGACAACAGTCACTATTACCTTTTGAAAATAAGATTATCCCAGGGGAAAAAGGCATTGAAAGCTACAGGAAATTGGGATTTTGAAGACGAAGGGCATTGTGAGAAATATGATATGGGATAAAAATAAATCAATCGAAACTTATTGCTTTGATATTCATGAATATTCAGCTCATATCCCTGCCAAAAATTATGAATAATGTTTTCATTATTACCACACGGATAGGTGGCCTTTTATCTGCATGCAGTGTAAAAATTAGACTGATAGTATAATTGCGATAATCTGTAGTGAGCAAATATATGGATTTCATATCAGCTAATGGCTAATCCTGCCGATAATTAAGTGAGCAAGCGTATGTTGTACTTTGACTGAGTAAAAACAAAGACGGCACCAGGTCATCGAGGCATGGTGCGAACAACGCTTTGTCTCTGTATCTTCTGAGTCTGCCTGTGGCCTTCCAAACCGTTTCAGAGATGTTGAAGAGTCTGGTCCTAACTGTATGGATCGTATGGATCGTGTTGCTAAATACGGTAAGTCCGAGACAAATTTGAAATTGGAATAGTTTACACAACTTACTTTTATGAGCATTTGTGCTCATTGGGATGTTATGTATTTCTGCATCTCAGTAAATAAACATTTACTGCATGGTTCATACTCAATACTCCGGCTGTAAGGCTGTTGACTTTCCAAACAGACTCAGTGTGTTCTCCGAAAACTATTACATTAACAATTAATCCAAGCAATCCATTGGGAATGTTGAGAATTTGGACGAGGTAGTTGTGGTTAAGGTGACGATGTCAGTTTTCAGTTTTCATCTTTGTTAACCACATACTGCAGTTATGTCAATAAGTTCATCAATCTCGGAAATGATTTTAAGATAGGATTTCCCGGTTAATTTAGCACATTCATTCATTTGAAATTGCTATTTAAACGAAAGTTTAATTTCATCAAAGACGGGTCACTTGCCCCAAATGTTGATTCCATTTCGTAATAACACCACTAGATTCACTTCCAGAAGTTGGCTGAAGTTTCTCACAGCTTTCCCTGGGATGAGGCCAAATTTTTCTCGCTCTTCTCTCGGTAGTCTTCTTGCTGATTTCCACATAACAGTCCTCGTAGCCATTTCGGCTACCTTGACGCAACCAGTTATTGCCTAAGTTTAAAATAACGGTTAGTCACAGTTATCGGTGTTGTCCTAGCGACAGTCAACAAATAAATAAGTCTAATCTACATTAATGTTGGGATGCAAGTCTACTGTTTGTTGCTACTCTACGTTAGTCTCCTTGTGATGCGTCCCTTATTCAAGCACATCGTTTGTCTGCGCTAATCAGCTGTACGCATCTCATAAGCAAGCACTGTTCGGTTAAAGGGAAATCATGGTTTATATTAGCTCAAATGAGTTGCAGTACAAATAAATCATAACAATGCAAATTACAAATCTGCACTAAACAGTTTGTGCCTGTAACTAAATCTTACAATTAAATCTATTAAATCTCATGATTCAAAAGCTACCCCATAAGTTATGCTAAACGCAATCGTTCCCTCCGAGTCCTACGTATATACCAAACACATAGATATCGGGATTAGACTTTTATTGCTCTACGTCGCGGACATTTATTACCCTTTCCGATAACAAACCAAAAATTCAGTGCCAGACACTGAGGCATCGAAGGAAAAAATCCAGGAAAAGCTATTTTCACTCCTGCTGTAGGTTATATTTTCTCAGAGCATACTTCTGCCGAAGTGAACATCCCAAAAGGGATCTCTGTAATGGCAACGTTTCATTTGAATAAAAACTGTTTATTCGAAACAATAAGATCTAAATTTCCTAGGTCATTTTACTGTGATACGAACCAATAATATTAGCCCGCTTCTTATCGCCCATGCTACCATGAATTTGTTTTTGTTGTTAGAAACGATGCATGGCAACCAAAAAACATTCGTCGGTGTATGTCTAAGTCCACAAATCTTCCTTCAAAGTTTTACGGATTAGTGTAACTGCGGCTTTGTTCTCCTGACTTTAGATTCCAGAATCTGTTGATGGTGACGTTACACTGGAGATGTTGCTCACTACGTATACTGGGAACGATCGAGACTTTGACAATAATTGCTGTGATTTCTGCGGTTTCTTCAATGGCGATTCCTGTGACATCAGCTTCGATATCTCTATCAACAATATGGGGTAATGGTCTTCCCTATTTAGGAAGAGGAATTACAGGATGGCTCCAGATGGGAATGGGGTTGATGAAACAACCTCATCGAGCCAGTCTCAAACCTCTATCACAAAATAGTAAATACTTCTTCCCTGACAATTTTACACGTCTTCGTCTTTGTTTAGCGGCACCCCAATCTACGTTTTGTCTACGGGTCTCATACAAAACGATGCTGAGTCCGTCACGTTTGGCTCTGTGGTTGGTACATCACCCAATCCTATACAGATGACATTCTCCTCTTGGCCGGTAAGTAAGGGGATATCAGAAGACAAATGTTTGGATTTCCTTCCATAAGAAGTCAGAAATTACACACACACACACAATACCATCCAACTGTCCACCAGCACAAGTTTTCATCATTCGAACCCTAAAAGCATCTACGTGTAGCTTTTTTGAAAATATCCACATATCTGAACTGTTACGATTGTTTTCTTCGTACATTCAACGTTACAGTGGAGGGTGAAGATGGTGCTTGACGTTTACGATGACGACTCCATTAATGTGATCGGAGGCCAACCAGAATTAGTTGATACCTACGAGACGACAATCACTCATGTCC